ATATTTTAAGTGAGTTTTAATTTATAAGAAAAAATGTATTGAGTGAATTTTACATGTTTTACTATAGACAGTAACCACACTGAGATAGCCTTGAACAAGTGTTGGTTGATTGTTATATATATTAGTAATATAGTATTGTATGTTTACAAATGTATAATATTGAATTGAATATAGATAATGTACTAATGTAATGTAATTAAATTGTTGTTTGTTGTGTAGATTGTCCAGTGATTTACCTCAGGGGACTCTTATTGTCAATTGACAGGGGTCATCTCATGATTTTCACACTCAGCTCTACACAATTTTGATTAAAATTAAACCAGCTGTTGAAAAGTAAATTTGATTGTTGAAAAATCAGTTGCATAAAATAACTAAACAACGCCAACTCGATGTAGAATTGAGCATCTAACAAGACAACTTCACTTTTTGTTGTAATATGGTAATGTTCTATTGCCAGACCCAACCCATTCTATATACATCCTCTTCCCAAATCATAGCGGTAATGTTTTATTATGTCACCATCGGAAGTGATGACATATTGTAATATTATAGACTCAAACTTTTTTGTGAATGATGTTCAGCGGTTGGTGATCCACTTGTTAGAGTAGATAGTCCAGGGTCTTGAATCAAGGTTATTCAGTTGTTGGGTGTTTGGCAGTCCTCATTCGGCATCTGTAACAAATGGCAGGTGTTGTGTTAATGCCTTGTTTATGAGCCATTATCAGCAGGTAACAGGGGTTTTCCATTACTTACATAATCACCTGACCCTAAGATAACATGTGATGCACAATTTGAGCAGTTTCATGAGCATCAATTCAAAATCATAGTTTGTTCGGACTAGATTTAAATCAAAAAAGAGCAGTTTCAATACAAATTATTTGACAGATTATTTTATCACTCTTTGTCTCAAGGTCACAATTTTTCTACACTCTGGATAGTTAAGAGGCTAAAGCTAATAAAAAGGGCTGTAAATACAGATCAACCTGTCTAGTAAAACAATGAATGAACAATTTCGCCAAGTACTCAAGGTGTTCCAAATGCAAGTTTTACTGTATACATTTCATTCGTTTTAAATAATGTCAGCTTTATTGGTCATTTAATCAGCATTTGCAGACAGTACTGTCAGCCTGTCACCCAATGTTATATTTAACATTAGTCATTGAATGAAATCCGTTACTAGGAGAGTTTATCATAGCCGTGTGACAACAGACTATATAGTTATCGCATTGTTGCCACATTAAGGGAAATGTTAGAAAGTTTTAACATTATCACAAACTGAAGATACATGAACTTAGAAAAATGAACATCTATTTTACAATTACTAATTTTTTTATCAATCAAAAAATCGTAGTTGGGCGGGGAGTTTCACGCTTCGGGTGATTTTATATGAAATTGTTTTGGCAACTATATGTAGTAGATTTTCAAAGCCACTTATCTGCTTATCGAATATGTAGGTTTAATCCCATTGTGCCCATTTGAGCATTTTAGAAAAAATTATTTTGCTGATATCTAGGATGAAGAAATTCTTTTTTCATCTTTGGCTGATCATAAATCTGGTTGGGGGAGGGGTTAATTTGGTGATGAACAAAAATAACTTAAAACGGGAATGCTATCGACAGAGGTTTCAAAACGTCCCACTAATGTTGACATACAGAGGGACGAGTGATGTATTGCAATAGCGTGTGAGCTAGAAACGTCAAAAGCCTGGTAAGAAAGTTTACATGAGTAAAATATACAAGGTAACTATAGGTGTTGTTCAATAGTGTTTGGATTATTTCATATAGCGCTACCTTTCTCAATTCATATTTCGTATTATCAAGGTGTAACCAATTCATTCGATATATTCTGCCAAAATAATGTTAATACAACGACAATATCTTGGCACAATACAATTTATAAACCTAGCTATTTATTTAACCTTGCAAGACCAAATCGTATTTATTAATTTATTTATAGCATTATTTTATGTGTTTTGTTCACTGTAGTTGCTTCAGTTATCACCGTGGTTATAGTTCATAGAGCTCCCTTCAAGATCGGGCATGCACTGTCCAAGCTCATGTAATAAATTGAAATACATTAGGACCAAGGATGAGAGTTTAGTTGTATCTCATGTCCATATAATTTATAACCAACAAATACAGTAAAACCTGTTTATCGTGAACTCCTATGGAGCCACTAAAATGGGTTCACTGTAAGTAGGTGTTCATTACAGAGAGGGAATTTTAAGATGTGTGTTGAAGTGGTGTTCACTAAACACAGGTATTCACTAGAGGTGTTCACTAAGAAAAGTTTTATTGTGCGAACAACTTCATTGACGAAATTTGTGAAATCGATAAATGTCTATTAAGCTGCCTTCTTGCCATAACGTCAGACCCTCATCACTTACGGTATTTCATTTCTTCATTTCATTATATAATTAGTTTGTCTATATGTGGCTATTGCATAAGTAATTATCAAACATGTAGAATAATACTGTCTCTTAAATTCATCCACAAGTGTTCACTTAGACTTGTTTTTCCTGCATATACTAGTATCTTGCAATTATTGATATTAGAATGGGGAAAAAATAACAGAAAGGGAAAAGCAACGCTTATTTTTAGTATTTGGTTGTCTATAAAAATTGGGCTGTGAAAGTCCCTACCTCGGGAACAAGGGAGTATAAATAGTTGAACTTTTAAAATAGTCTTTTCATTAGAGGAACTCATAATAAAGATGGTGATCTAAAAGGAGCTGTTGTCAAAATGATTTACATCACCCCCAAAAAGTTAGCAAACGTAAAATATGAGAATGAACCCCATAGTGCAGCATTTGTGTGAGACTCCCGATGCAGGAAGCGTCGGGAATATGTCACGTAGTATTGTCACAGGGGGGCAGGATTTTGAGAGTACCCAGCTGCACGGAAACTTATGAATGCATATTCCCGGTATTAAGAATTTTGACTGAATATGCTCCGGGATCTTATCAGCTATTGTTGCTACCATGGTAAGGATATTGACTTATTACATTGCTCCCACAGGGTAGGGAATTTGACAAGTTTCAGTTTGTGAAAATCCCTATAGCTACCCGGCCTCATGCAACCCTTCGAATAGTGCGAAACACCAAACTAAGTTCTCATTAAGTTCTTGAAACGTGCTGGCGAATGGGCTTAATAAGAATGTGCGGATGAACTCCGTATTGCAATTATCCAGATAGAGTAGAAAGAAAAACTAAAATGTAATGTTTGTAATGTTTTTTGAATACAAATAAATGTGTTTTGTTTATTGTCCTAATAAGATGTACGTTTTCAAAACCGTGGACTTTTTGATCTCATAAATAGATTCAACCCATATCTATCCCTTCTAGCCCCTTTAATTAAATTACTGTGATAAGGTAATGTGCATATGGATGTGATGTGGTAAATTATCTACCACCAGACACAAGACTTCGCATGAAAAGATAAAATGTTGTAAACGAGAGATAATAACCCTCTTGCTGTATGACATACACTTATCACTACTAACGCCATCTTTGACACAAAATATATGCACTTTTACTAAATCAAGCATTCGCGTTTACCAGTTTGGTTTTCAATCATTCACAAACTCCCAAAATTCATCTGTTCTTTTCATATATTGAACTACGGGTAAACGCATATATTTACACTGAGTTAATTATATAGCTAATAAAACTGCATGATGTACTTGGGGGTCGGGGGGGGGGTATTTGATGAGGCCAAAGTTAAACACAAGTATACATTTGGGGTTCGCTGTTAGAGCATCTCAGAATGACAAGGTGCGTACTAAGAATGATCCCTGGACCATGTACCCAAAGAGTTCGTATGATCATAATTTACGATTCCTCGAATATACAGGTAGATCTAGATGGAAAATGACTTGCGAAAGCCCCAGGGTAGACCTATTGTTAATTTAACACTAATTGATAAGTTAATATTCAGTTTACTTTTTATACTTAACAAATTAAATATAACAACAAGTTCAATTTTCTATGGGAATTAGAGGGTTAATTCCTTAAGAATTTGATACTATTTGATACTGTACACTGGCAGCTCCGCCATATTTGGTTACTGTATGATTTTCTCTTTTAAAATTTTAATACCGCATACGATTTTTTTCAAACAACTCAAGCATGTTTCACATGTCAGCATGTCTATCTGACAGTTATTACTCCAACTATATAGAATTAGTAACTAAACATACAAGAATCACATCAAAAGTTCAATGCTCCCTAGATTAGCCTATCAAATTCGAAACATCTTCATCAGATCAACAAGCAAAATAATCATGAAAGTTGCTATCTGGTAAGGAGTATCATATTTAGCATTTTAACTGTGTCACCACTTTTTTTCAAAGAAGTGTGGATACGGGTACTAGACATTGTGTCTTTACACATGTTAGATCATAGTTTTGGGACATTGGGGTTCGTTTTCCTTGAACTGTTTGACGTTTCATCTTTGCTCCATTTTATGACACTTGTATTTTCCATAATGCACTTGTACCTATTTGTTATTTTACTGAAATATAGCTTTATTTCTAATTAAATTTTACTATTACTTAGTGTACGTCATATCTGTTATTTTAAAATATAGCTTTATTTCTATTTAAATTATACTATTACTTAGTGCACATACATATCTGTTATTTTAAAATATAGCTTTATTTCTATTTAAATTTTACTATTACTTAGTGTACATACATATCTGTTATTTTAAAATATAGCTTTATTTCTATTTAAATTTTACTATTACTTAGTGTACATACATATCTGTTATTTTAAAATATAGCTGTATTTCTATTTAAATTTTACTATTACTTAGTGTACATACATATCTGTTATTTTAAAATATAGCTTTATTTCTATTTAAATTTTACTATTACTTAGTGTACATACCAGGTACATATCTGTTATTTTAAAATATAGCTTTATTTCTATTTAAATTTTACTATTACTTAGTGTACATACATATCTGTTATTTTAGAATATAGCTTTATTTCTATTTAAATTTTACTATTACTCAGTGTGTACATACATATCTGTTATTTTAAAATATAACTTTATTTCTATTTGAATTTTACTATTACTTAGTGCACATACATATCTGTATTTTAAAATATATCTTTATTTCAAATTTAATGCATATTACTTTAGAAGCTCATTTTTATCTTTGAGTATTGTTCATTTTTGTTGAACTTCTTTTAGTGATGTGGTTTCAAACTCTACGAGTATATTTCATCTTGGCAGACATCATATCACCAAACTGAAATGAAATTCAGCATATTTATTTCATGAAAAAATTGCGCATGGGGCCCTAGTAAGGCGCCAGTAGTCCCACTGGTAAAATTGTATCAGAATTAAAAACCGTTCACAACAGCAATATTTTAATGGGAAACCTATGACTAATTTCATGTAAAAGCAAAATGATTATCACTTTTTTTTATCTCTTAATCATATAGTTCATTTAGAAGACTCACATGTGGTACCCTGTGACTAACGACAACAGTTCGTTGTTTTATTTTTTGAAAGCCATGGTTGTTCCATCTCCCAGTAACAATAACGTTGCATTCACTCTATCGTCCTTTGCGATCTTGTCGTTCATTGCTCTCAATGCGATTGTATCTTTATCATTCACAGACTGGTCCATTACTTGACCTCCCCATAACATCTGAAAAGCAGAAGTTAGCTAAATGAGCTTGGGAGGTGTCTTACTTGACTATGTACCCCTCACCTAAGTTGAAACACTCACCAGGATAAACGTTCCTGGCTTCGCGAGTTACTCAACAGTATACTTAATGATAATGTGTGTACATGCCATCTGTCCCTCCTTATTTTTAAAGGTGATTCATTCATTTACCACGGACACTGAAAATTTTTCCAAACTTTTATAGTCAATATGCTGACCTAATCAGCTTTTTAGTCCAGAGGGGTAGCCAGGATCAACATTTTAGATAGGAAAGTTTTCAGTCAAAATGTTTTAGAAAAAATGAACAATTCAATTTCATGGTTCCTCTTTTTACAACCTCATTGAGATACTAATTAAACCATGATGCAAATTACAAGTTTTGTGATTGAAGGTGGTTGTTTTAAAGGCAGAAACAGATATACAGGATATGTCAAAATAGCAAGAAACCGATACGAGTGACCCACAAACATATTCTTCATCGACTCAAACGATGGTATAATTTCGAACATTTATGGTTTATAATAGTTTCACTTTCTTATACTTTTCTTCCCAAAGTATAATGCCCAAAATATAAGTTACACCCAATTAAGGGATACATACATATAGTCGGGGTAAGATGAGGTAAAAGAATATGGCATTAACGTGTAAAATGTCACCACCTCTCATTTGCTACAGATGCTGAACGCACTCGAAGAAACCAGAGCCAGAAACCCCTCCTAGGAGGAGCCCTGTGTCCTTTAGTGTGCACTGGTACACAAACATACAAGTACACACCATGGCATTTTATACGATTCGTGAACCACTCAGTCAAACTCCCAGAATTACACAACACACAAACAAACTTGTCTGAACAGGAAATTGGACCCGGGGCCAAGCGATAGCGACTCTGTCACTGAGCCATAGCGGATGTACTACAAGAATTGCAGGAAACGAACGCTAGCCGGAATTTGAGACCTGACTGCCAAGATGACAGACTAGCATTCCAAAGAACCACCAGTGCTCGGGTAAACACCGTGGTGGTGACATAATAACTTACATTGTCCAAAGCCATCAGACCTCCTGGCCTGAGTAATTTAAGACCAAGTTCATAATAGTTATCGTAGTTGCTCTTGTCAGCATCAATGAACATGAAGTCGTAAGTGCCTTCCTCACCACCGTCTAACATCTTTTCTAAAAATATATAAGATATTATTTTTAGCTTCTCTCGCTGACTTGACAGAATATGTAGATACAACAACGACGTTGCTGTGACCGTATCCAAATACTGTCGGTCTCCACATCAAGACAAAAAAGGAAAAATATCAAAAATACACGATTGTAAACAACTATCTTAGCTTCAGAAAAATGCAACACGACTTTTAAAATGTAAAACTATTCAGGGGAACGTGTCATCTCACCATTAGCTCCTCACACTTGCGCAAAGAATACACTCAAAGTCACACCCCTCCATGTTTAGTCATATAAATCCGACCATCGTATGCTTTATTTGTCATTATTTTTTGATAATTTGGATATTTATTTTTTGTTATTTCCTTGCATACTAGCAGAGCTGTCAAGTGTCCCGCGAATGGCGGGATTATCCCGCGAATTTGATAAAAATTAGGTTAATTCGCGTGTCCCGCAATGTCTCGCGAAGTCCCGCAAATGTGGCTTTGACCTCCGCGAATTTCCGAAATTGTTGCAATCCCCTATATTGTGATTATCTTATCTTTTATAAGAAGCTAAGTTTTTGCACTTTTGAGGAGTAAAGTTTACCTAATTTTAAGTACCTAGCATGCTGTTTGGTATCAAAATAAAGGGGAAAGGTTCAACTTTCATTTTAATTACGAAAATAGGGATGTAGGTCACAAATAGTTCCAACGTTGGCCTTTTTACTACCCTTGTGGCCTTCATCTCAGAACTGAGCAAATATTAGCAAACGCGAGTTACAATAAATGGACGCTGATATCTAGAAAGGGTTTGTAGAAAAACACGGGTACCGGGTAGTAAATCCTCCATGCTGGGTTCAAACTTGGTACCCGGTACCCGGTCAAAAAAACGGGAACCCAAAAAACGAAAAATACGAATATATAACATAATAGATTATGAGAAAACGTGTAAGATTTGTTTTGAATTTACAAAAATGTATGTAACATCCTTCAAAATTGAGCTAGAAGCTTCAAATAAAAAGCATATTTTAAGGCTCTTTTCTTCCTCTATCGTCATGGCCATATTTTCATTGGTTATGGGGGGGGGTGCGATCGCACCATCGCACCCTCTCCTGGCTACGCCTATGACATTGTAAGACATAACAATTTACAATTCAGTGGACATTTTGTCGAAAATTGGGATAACTTAAATTATGATTAATAATCAAAATCTTACACGTTGCATCATTTAAATTAACACATGTCACCTCTCTGCTAAAGCAACGATAGCTATTTACAGGTTTAAATCATAATCAAAACAATTCATATACCAACATATGAAGTATTGAAAATAGAGTAAGATTGATTTGTCTTGTTTTTCAAATCGTCTTACAATGTCATTGGCATAGCCAGGAGGGGGTGCGATCGCACCCCCCCCCCCTTCATTTCCAATGGAAATATGACCATGATGATAGAGGAAGAAAAGAGCCTTAAAATGCTTTTTATTTGAAGCTTCTAGCTCAATTTTGAAGGAAGTAACATACATTTTTATAATTCAAAACAAATCTTACACGTTTTCTAATGATCTAATTATGTTGTATATTCGTATATTTCTTTTTTTTGGTACCCGTTTTTTTCGACTGGGTACCAAGTTTGAACCCAGCATGGAGGATTTACTACCCAGTACCCGGTTTTTTCTACAAATTCTATCTAGAAAAGTAACCTCATTTCCTATAATTTGATGTAGATTAATAGAACCCCTATATCATGGGCTTTCAATTGAAAGCCCATGCCTACAGTATATGAATAGGTACATTTTAAAATATAACATTATGGGGGTAAGCGTTTCATAGTTGGTCACGACGCCAGAAGTGCAAAGTATTGTTCCGAATTTTTGAATTTCGTGTTAGATTACGGTACTCACACCTGAAGCATGGTTTTTGTTTTTGATAAATTACATTGAAGTATAATAATATTCCTGTGCGTATTTTGTGAAATTGTGTTGACGTTTATTTAAGTTACAATGTAACGGTGCATTATATTTGATTAATCAGTATCTGAAAGTTTGATTTAAGTACTTTTACACGCTTTTACATTAGTCCCAATCACGCAAATCCCTTGAATGTCCCGGGACATCCTGCAAATTTAGGTGGATGTCCCGCGAAATCCCGCAAATTTAGGGCACTTTGTCTAAAAAATCTGTCCCTCTATGAAGTTTTTGGTGGTACCCCTGTTAACTGTCCCGCAATTAGGGTGTTTGTCCCTCGAATGGTCCCGCGAAATCCCGCGAATTTGATAAAAAAAATTGGCCTATTAGCACAATCACGCAAATCCCTTAAATGTCCCGCGAAATCCCACGAATTTAGTAGATGTCCCGCAAAATCCCGCAAATTTTGGGCACTTGGTCTAAAAAATCTGTCCCGCGAGAAAATCTTTAGGGGTTGACAGTACTGTACTAGGGTCGTACACACTTGCCGGTTGTAAATTGAGGGAAATGCTTTCCTGGCCTGTTTAGGCAACCAAAATCACACAAATTATGTATTAGAATATGCTCTTCATCGATAATGTAGTTAATCCTACCTTACACACGTCAAACGCTTGATAATTGAAGAAGTATAAGAATTTTTCTGGAAACAAATTTTTTCCCCATGTGTAGATGCATTCTGGGTAATGATTGTGTAAAAGTAAAACTCTAGGTGAAGCGAAAAACGAAATTACAATAAATAACGGCATCCATATTGAGATCGAGATTTCAACTCGAAAAAGTTTATCATCGTCTTATGACAATTGAATCGCCTTCTCAGACACCAAGGAGGGTGAAGAAATCGAAAACAGATATGTTGGTAATAAATAATTACGATTTCGTTTTGGTTGCATGGTTTCACATTTAGACTGTATTCAGTGACCTTGAGTGACCTTGAGAGCCATATTGGAAATTGGTTCAAACATATACGAAAATGATTACATTTCTTCAATTATCAAGTGTTTCCTGTGTTTAAGGTAAGATTTAATACATTCTAGTTGAAGCATTGGATCCATTATCTTATCTGTGTAACTTTTGTTGGGCATAGAGGGCAGAAAAGCATTTACCGCAATATACGGGGCTTAATATCCTCGACGCAAATGTTGAAAACAAAAATAAAAAACAAACATCAAAATCGTCAAAAAGAAACGTGAAACAACAACATTAAGTCGAGTTCACTTGACTACTCCATGTTGTGCAAAACCTGATTACAGTACGCCAGCTATATAATTTCAGAAGATGTAAGAGTAAGAAGGACTTACGATGTAGCATATCAGTTATTGCCAATAAGGTATTGGTGTATGACTTCATTATGATGGTACTTACGTAGACTTTCCACTGCTGGTGCTATTCTCAAATCTATCTTGTGATCAACCCCGGCCTAAAAGTAAATTGAAGCAAATATATCTCTCTCAATAAACGTCAAATACAGGGTGGCGGGCCATATGATGGGATCATAAAGAAACACAAAAATTACAAAATAATACACAGTATGGAGGTCAATCTTCACGTTTTAAGAGAATTTGTACGTCTCCGTGCAATACTAAGAGTCCAGGGATTATTGTCCTCCTTATAATTGATTTTCAAGGAACCTAATTATATCTATTTTTATACTCAAATGGTCAAGTACGTAAATATTACGAAGGGAAAACTATATAACCCGTAGGACCAAACTTTACAACAAGTTTTCCGGGTACGAAGTTCCCACGTGTTCTCATACAAACGTGTAGCTTAACATCACTAGTGAGTGAATTATGTAACTGAATCATGAGAATAGTCTATGTAATATGCACTGAAGCCCGTAAATACTCCTGAAAATATTGCACTTATTGTTCAAGTGTTCAAACGGGTTTAGCTTAACATCACAAGTGAGTAAATTAATTTATTATGTAACTGAATCTTGAGAATAGTCTATGTAATATGTTTACCTCTTTCCAAACCGGCACCCCGTACTTGGGATAGTCCATTGTGATATCACAAGCCACGACTTTACCGTCATCTGGGATAGCCAAGGCCACCGTTAATGCACTGAAGCCAGTATATACTCCTGAAAATATTGCACTTCTTGGTTAAGTGTTCATACGGGTCTAAACTGATTAGGACGTATTGAATGCTTATGAACGAGTGAGCAAAAATATAGCTATCACACCAAACTAGTTGCCATCGCGTTCTTTAAAACTTTGCCGAACTATGTGCGAACGGAATGAACGTAGCTGCAACTTTCTACGGTCTATTTACGAACTTCAGGGACGTGCTCGGACGAGAAGATGATTTAGAATTTGGATCATTTCAAAATTCGATGGCGACCATATCGATATCGTTCTGTAATTAGATCGTGTGACAACGTACTTCAAACGAGATTACATACAAGAGTAGGAATAGGAACGTAATTGCCATACTTCGACCCTATTAGGGGCGCGTTAACGTCAATTTCAGTATGTTCATACAGTCATGGTGCGAACTGGCCGAACTGCGAATGAGATGGACGTATTAAAGACTGTAAGTGATCGATGTAGCTAATTATTTAGACATATTTCCCGACAACAACGAGATTTAGCCCGTTTTACGACTTTTTTATAAGACTGGAAAGAACGGTTGAGATCTAGTCTTGTGCGCTATGGGGGAGGGGGAGAGGGGGTAGCGTTGACTCTTGGACTCTGCATGGACTGAGATTAAAAATGGATGAAGTATTTTTTGTTTTGAAATGTTTTCTATAAAATCATAACCTATCATGCCGATGTGCATGGGTTCTCTTCGTACTTACCTACGTCTATAGTCTTCTTGGCTCCCATGCTCATTAACACATTGTGTATTAGTTGCATTTCAAGGCTGTCTGAAAGCATCCGACGGCGTGGGACAGAATCTGTAATCTACATGAAATAAACAGTCAGTTCTGATTAATAATTCCATCCCGGATTTTTAAGTGAATTTTAACACCATATTTAACAAAATTACGGATACTGGGATATGTGATCCTCGTAACATTTTACCCTGGCTTATCAGAAAATACCGGGGAGAATTGCTTACTTGCATGTTATACCGTATTTTCTATGGAATGAGTTTTTGTACTCGTACGTCCACAATTTGTGGTAAATAAATCCATTCAGTTTTGTTGATTTTAATAACTACCTTTATTAATTTTTCCTGAGCTGGATGAAGAGGTTGTAAGTGAGATTGTATATACTCAGCGACAGGGTTGTCTTTATTGTTTCTGCTGTTCAACTTCAGCGCTTTCGATTCATACTTTGCTTTTCGTCTTGCTTGAAATAAAAGAGAACATATCGTGACGCAAATTAATTAATTGCCTTTAAAGCTGGAAACGTTTTTTTTAAACCGTCCTGTACCTTTGGTATGACTCGGGCGTGGTGAATGATTCATGCAATGTTTGGTTTTTGGACATTTAATTCACGGGTGCAGGAGTCAAATAGGCAAAGCTAACTAAAGATTGTATTTTGTTTGATAGTTTATGACTTCAGTACATATAGGCCTATATATAGATGCGTAAATATACTTATATAATTTGAAAATAATTGAACTTAACATTTAAAAATAATCTGCAATAGTATAGTTTCCATATAGCTTTTGAAATCTCAGAGATTTTAAGAGACTTGCATATTAGACCTCTAATGACTTACATTACCTTCTTTTAAATGGCATATTTGAATTTAGTGAAATGTTTTCTCCTCAAATTGCTTTGATTTACACAGTTATGTTATTCGAATAATTTTCTATGACATTTAAAAAAAACTTGGGCCAAATATTCATAGATGCAATGCTAAAATTCTTTAAACGAAGCGTGGATTACTTGTCTGTCAATCAACATTTGCATGTTTAATCACAACATGTACATAAACAGGGTCATCATGTGGTATATTATTCAAGTTTTATAATACCGATTCAACTAACACACTTATTGATAAATCATGAAATTATGAGCATGTACAAGTGAATGGAACTCTAGCCAAAATTTAAAGCTGAATAAAAGATGGCAGCACTAGATTTCATTGATTTTTTTGCTATTTAGAAACTGATTCAAATTGCAATCAAGATGATTGGCTGTATATTCTAGGAATTATAGATGGCTTTCATTGTACCCCCCTTAAAGTCATATCAATGGGGTAGAAGTCTGCATACCGTAGTAACCGGTAAACCAACACTGATGAAACTTTCCATGATAGTCAAACATAATGATGTGAATAATACCCGTTAATTTCAGGACAAATGGTTATTTATTTTCTTCAAAAATTTGAACACAAATAAAGAATTCTTTGGAAAAGTGCCACGTCCCCTTTCTAAATTTATTTGCATTGCCATATAATCATCAGCAATAGATCCCACTATGTGGATAAGATAAAACAGCAGTTGATTTAATATTATCAAACATACTCTGAATAAGTTTTCTAAAATGTTTTCATGGTGATTCTTCCCAATGTCATGAAAATAGTATGTGTTTTGTCTCATGGGGTGTCTTATATTTTGACGAAAATGTGTACATATGTTAACATATGATCTCCGTTACCATAGCAACCAGTTGATCAACTTTAATGAAACTTGTCATAATGGTAAGACATGATAAGTAGATGATTACCTGTAAATATCAAGATGATTGGCTTTATATTCTAGAAATTATATATGGCTTTCCTAGTACCCCCCTTAAAATTACACCAGGGGTGCATATTTCCAAAACGCTGAAAAATTAAACACCAATGCTTTGAGAATCAACTTAGAATAATAAACCACAAATAACCTACATATTGCCATTTTGCAAAACCACTTTTACACCACGCTCATCCAGTACATGTATGTTCATAAACCGTTGTCATTTCTGTTCATGAATTTCAATATGTATGGTGCAGAAATGGGAAGAGGACGTTCCGAGGAAAAAGAAAATCCTTTGTACTCTCTATGGGACGTTGTGGCTTATTTGATGTAGGGTAATTGCATAATCTTCACTTGGGCTACCGCTCTCGTCGAAGTCTCATCCACAAATCATTGATCTTTGGGGTTAAGGTAAGTGTATATGTTCGGAATTTTAATGCAATATTCTTTCCACTCTTTTCTAGGTACATTAGTGCACTCTTTGTGCAAAACTGAAAGATGTAGACAATGTGGGGAAGGGATGATTGATATTTGAAAAAGAACATGTGACTCTATGGAGGATTGAATCAAAATTCCGAGCATATAGACTTACCTTAACTAACGTACCTATAACGTATCCCACTGCAGCTCCCACCACTGCCAAAGTCCCTGCAGCCACAGCACTGGTCTTTGCATCCATACTTATTATGCTGTTATGCGTTCACGTAGACAGTGATAAATTCCCTTTAGAACTGTTCAGTGTTCACAGATGATCGTGGTCTGTAGTACAGAGTGTCGGTTGCTGTAAAGCCGATAAACAAATACACTGGTATCACAATCTGCAAACAATGTGCAATTATATAATATTAATTCTTCCAATGGCTGTCTATATCAGACCTAAGACTAACAGACACAGTCGGTATGCAGATTGATTTGACAAGCCCAAATCATGATCTATACTATAAAGGTAGACTTATGATTTGGGCTTGCCCCAAATCATAACTGCATATAGGCATACTGACTGTGATATCAGAATGAGACACCGAGCCGTAAAGGCAAAGACAATTCCTATGTAAAGTGTGTCATAGAATGTATATTTTACTGAGACACAAATCACGATTCACCATGTATACAAAACAACACGTTTACTTGTTTTCTATGATAAACGTAAATAAAAACGATAAATATATAGTCCTCTATACAGGTAGTCTGTCAACAGCCATTGTAAGAAATCAATTCAAATAACAAATATATTTGTGCAAACATGGATACAACATACAGACAACAAATATATAAATTCATACACAGCTTGTGTATAGAAAATACAACGAGTAATTAGAACAGTGTACTTCATATAACAAATATCATACAATTATATAAATGTCCGGCAGTATGATCATCTACAATATTTGGCGATTTAATTTAGCGAATTGAAAAAATCCACCAATTTCAGATCTATTTGGAAATCTCCGGGAATTTTACCCTGCGCGCAGAGTCTAGTTAAAGAGAGAATCAGAGATAGCGAGCAGGCCCAACAAAAAATTGTTTCAATTTTAGAATATTTCTGGCACATATAATTCCTTGTCATGTCTATTTTCTAAAAATCCCCAAAGTGCACACTTTATTTAAGGAAAACTAAAGATTTTTACAATAATGTATTATTTTTCTATAAGAATGGTTAGGCCATAAGAAGTAGATCCTCTGTTTTGCGTCCCCTTGCTTGCACGATTTTGAGTAAATCAGAAAAAACACATCCAAATAGCAATCACAAGGGTCTGAAAGTACCATCGCATTTCAGAATCAGATGAAATGGCGGATAATTTGATGTGCGTCAAAATTGACAGTGTTATAATTATTTGACATACATTGTGTTTTTTCTTATTTTTTACCCTTGAATAATAGCTATATTTTTATATATTGTATAAAATGTATAGATATGTGTTTGTAATCACTGCAAATTGGGATGTCATCCTTTTTTATGCCCCTCAAATGTATATATTTCTCAGCAAACAAGTTCGTGTTTTTTTTCTTGAGTTTGTGTTTGTTTTCCTTGTACCCTTGCATGATTTGGATTTTGCCAGGACGCAAAACAAAGAATCTACTTCTTATGGCCTTACCATTCTTATTATTTGGGAGAATTTAAACATTTTCACCTATTTTTGCACTTTGAATCCATAATAACTTCACCAATTTAGAACATATCGTGAATCTTTTGGGAGATATTGTATTTGAGATTGTAAGGAATAGATTGGTGGGTCAATCATACATATTGCTTGTAATTTTGTCATCCCTATAGATCTGATTCTGCCTTTAAACTACGAAGACGAAGCTCTTTTTTAAGAAGTGAAGTCAAACGAATGCAAAGGGTACGGGAATTTGTATTGAAAACAAATAATGATCATTCATCATAAGGTACTGTACACATACTAAACACTGCATGAAATGGTTATCTCCAGGTCCGAGGAAAACTTAGCACAGTCCTGCATCCGCCAAATTGGCCGATAACATTTAAAATTGAACAAATCTGAAAAATTAAGTACCGTCAAATTAAGTGCATCTACAGTATGCAAATATTGGATGTTGACTCAGACTCACCTGGTTTTGAATCATCATTAAATTCATTGATTCATGGGCTAAAGGGTGCATCAAAGGACGGTAAAAGTTAAATAAAGTAATAAAGAGGGCATGCCAATCAATCTAGGTTACAAATAGGATTCTATTGAGCTGCCATCTTTATATCGGCCAAAAATCGACTAATATTGAAATGTATGATTTGATTACAAGGAGGATTGGCTCCCAGAGTGCACCACCGATATTCTGTCCCATATATGGTAGCGTGACCTTTGACCTTGTTGACACGTGACAGGTTTCTTTAGCACGGAAGCCATTTTGAAACCTGTGAGGTCAAATGTCACCGCTACCATATATGGGACAGAATATCGGTGGTGCATTCTGGGAGCCAATCCTCCTTGATTTGATTATCTCTACTGATTTCCTGTGGCTGCTAACCTGGCACTCATGTAGCGATTCTGGCATTAGTAGAACAAGAATTTAAACGCGATTAAATTAAATGTCATTTCTTGCCGTTGGCTTATATAATTTTCACGTGGCCACATGGGCTTTCGATTAGAAATTATTAGTTGAAAGTTTCAATAAGAGTTGAAAGCCCATGTGTACATGTAGCCTAAGTAATGTTAAAGCTTCGTTATCCGGACACATCCCCGGGATCCTTACCTGGTTACTCTTGCACTGACCTTATATCATTAGCATAAGCCGACGGAAAAGTAGTATTAATTCTACCACGGGCTTTCAATTATTCTAGTTGCCCATGATTCTACTTTTCAAGTGGCCTGAGTATCATGTCCTAGACTAAGCCTAAATACACGAATTGGACTGATCACCATTCCCATGTTGTAGGTTGTTCATTTGTATTTATTCTGACTCTAGTATTGCTTATCATGGTATTAGAAAACGACTTTGTTCAATATTCACAAAAGCCCATTGCATTGTGAGGTCCAGAACCTGTACATCCAAAGTCATTGCCTACAGCAGGTCCATACAATCAACAATAATTTATGAACGTCAAAACATTTTGCTTTGTTAAAACCATGGGCTTTCAACTAGATCTGATTGAAAGCCCATGTTAAAACCTACCTCGAAACGTTTATTTACCTTGGCTTCCTGATTTCCAGTGTTTCACTGTTCCCAGTCTCCTAGGCCCATGAACTCATTCAGACTTTCAAACAACCCAGATATAAGCCTACTTACATACCCTTTAAAACCACTTTCAAATATATCCACCACGTACAGTTACTGTAGTAAACGTTCCCTTGAATTGTGAAATATATATAATGTGTAATTCGTATGGAAAACGTCGGTACCGCAACACGTCAATAGAAAACGTAGCTCAAACGTAAGATAAAACAATGGACAAATTGAAATAATGTTGACCGAATCATGATGGGGTCATAGTGGCACGTGTTGGTGTTGTGAAATGCTGTATTAATCAACGTTTGTTTGGGAGATGTTAGTCTATACAGGCTATACAGTGTATGAGATAAGCCACAAGCAGAATCAGAGCTATTATAGAGAGTGACAAAATATCGCAGGCAACAGGTAACACTGAGTAACGAGTTGATCTTCCAATGATACTCCATACAAACTGAAAACAGTGTATCCCCAAAAATATGTTATATATACAAGGTGAAGTTATGAAAGATTCAAAGTGCAAAAATGGGGGAAAACCCGGGGGGAAAATGCGTAAGAAGGTAAGCAAACTTCTAGTCCAGCCACAAGCCTCTGTGACCCCCTCTCCTGTATTTGACCAAACACCTTTTCACACAGAGTTGGCAAGATGGCAAGCAAGGGCTTGGAGCTAGACTAGCGAACTTCAGGAATCAGACACGATTGCACTAAACGAAATTCTTGAAGATTGTACATCTACTTTGTGATGTGTGAGTTTCTGTGAAGAAAACCATTTGTGATTATATTCTAATTGATAGTTTAATTTCAAACAAATAAATATATGCAACCATAATATGTGTAACAGCATGAACAGTATGGTATGCATTGCATGGAATGAAAATACGAAATTCTCAAAAGTTAATTGTGTCACGTGATCAAATTAGTTCAAAGATGGCAACCAAGTGAAAAAAGTTTTTGTGGAGAATAGTCAGTATTATTTGTGTAATATTCCTCTTTGATCTCATCAGATTGCGGCCAAAATAATGTCACATTCCAGACTAGACAATCACGGGATGAAATCCAGTAGAAGTGAGTTCTTAGTTGGTGATAAAGTGAAGTTTAGACTCGAAAGAAAAATTGGCAGTGGAAGTTTTGGAGATATTTATTTGGCCACAAATACATCCAATGGTGAGCAGGTGGCAGTTAAATTAGAACAGACAAAAGCCAGACATCCTCAATTATTATACGAAAGCCGCTTATATAAAATACTCCAGGGAGGTGTTGGCATTCCACATGTACGATGGTTCGGCCAGGAGAGAGAATTCAATGTGCTTGTCATGGATTTACTCGGACCAAGTCTCGAAGATCTTTATAACTTTTGCTCTAGACAGTTTACCATGAAAACAGTGCTGATGTTAGTTGATCAGATGATAAGTCGGATTGAATTTGTTCATAATAAGAACTTTATTCATCGAGATATAAAACCCGACAACTTCCTAATGGGGATTGGTCGTCATTGTAACAAAGTGTTCATTATCGATTTTGGCTTGGCGAAAAAATACCGGGATAGCCGCACCCGCCAACACATTCCATATAGAGAGGATAAAAATCTCACGGGTACTGCCCGTTATGCAAGCATCAATGCTCACTTGGGTGTGGAGCAATCTCGTCGTGATGACATGGAGTCGTTGGGTTATGTCCTCATGTACTTCAATCGTACTAATCTTCCCTGGCAGGGACTCAAGGCTGCCACTAAGAAACAGAAATATGAGAAAATTAGTGAGAAAAAGATGTCAACCCCAGTAGAAGTTCTATGTAAAGGCTTCCCTGCTGAATTTGCAATGTATTTAAACTATTGCCGTGGATTACGTTTCGAAGAGAGCCCAGATTACATGTACCTTCGTCAGCTTTTCCGTATTTTGTTTCGCACCTTGAACTATAATTACGATTATGTCTATGATTGGACCATGCTTAAGCAAAGAGCTGCCCAAGTTGCACCTCCTTCAACTGCAGCTCATGCCACTGCTGGCCGTTTCTAATTGCAGTAAGAGGACCCCACACAGCAGTATATATGGGGTTCCAACTTTCATTCCAAGGGCCTGGAAGAAAAATCACCATGTTTGGCCTAATAAAGTAAATGAATTAAGATTACACAGTATAATCATATTATTAGTCATAAAGATAGCTGTTTTTGGATATACTCACTCAGTCAATCACGTGTGTTTTACAAAACATTACAGTAAATGAGTCGTATGACTATGATATCATACCAGTACCAGAAATTGGAGGCCCCGACTCGACATCGATTCATATTACAGTCAGATCCTGATATGATATTTATGTGAACTGTATGTTTTAATCAATGCATTTTACAATGTTTTCTATATAATAAAAACACTGCTTTAGTGGACTCTGGGTATGTAAATATCATGTTTGATAGCCACACAGGTATCAACCAGACTTCATGATACCACGAGCTTGTTAGATATGTTCCTAAATCTGTATTTGTAAAAGCGAGTGTGGGTCCTCAATTGCTCATGGTATGTTGAGATCTGGTTGGAACCAATGAATGTTTTACCACATTTTATTAGATTGTTCAAGGGTTTGCATTTTTAGTATATCATACGTAACTTAGTTGTTTTTAAAATGAGAAAATATGTTATGATATTATAATATTATAAGTAAGTTCTTCAGAATAATTTGCCATTTTCCTTACACTTAAATTCATTTCTCATGGTGGATACTTAAATTTACTTTCAAATTGTTTGTCACAAGACACCCATGGAGCTTATTGGTGAATGTAGGGTGTAGCCATTAGTTGGGCACTAAAACAGATGTGTGTGATGGCAAAAATCTTAATTAGCAGTACAATAAAACAATTCGTAGCAGGCCCGCAGCCAGTATTTGCCTAGGGGGTTCAGTTTTTGAAAAATTCTAGGGGGGGTTCACTTTTGACAATTTGGGTCCAAAAATTGCCAAAATCACGTAAAAAGTGTTCAGAATGATGTAAAACTGCAAAGAATTTTTGGCCAGGGCTGGTTCGCTTGAATCCAGCGAACCCCCCTGGCTACGGGCCTGCGTAGTAAACACCAATCACCATTAATACAAAATTCTTTCAAATCTAAAACAGATTTTTAGTAGACCACACTGAAATATCAACAACAAGATGAATGTTGAAAAATGCTGAAAACTCTCTCAAAAGTGGGTGGATCACATTGGATGAATCTCCGGTATTAATCAAGAATATTTATTGTCTTTAAGATATTGTATTTACCATTCATAATGGAGCTCAACCAAAACCTTGAGAAATGGGAATATGTCACAAATTTTTGAAGGTTGAATAAAACAGTTGGGTTGTACATGTATATTGGACAATGTAATGGTGAATCATTTGTCACCAGTACTGTGCAATTCATGACATTTATAAAATAAATCCCATGTTAAACCTTTCAACATTGTTTATGTAAATTTTGAGAGATGATGTCAGGACAATCTACCTAAAGCTGTGCATACTTAGTTTTCGTTAAGGTTAATCACGCTTTGTCCTGTTACGAAATTTCTTAACAAGAAATAAGGAAATATTTTTGTTTATCCAAGTATATTTTGACAGACACAGCGTGATTACTTTTGTTTGATATTCTGCCCATGTAGTGGTGTTCCAGCACTTAAAATACAAAGTAAAAATAAAGGACACACCCTTGTATTAAATTTACTTTACATGGGCTTTATGCAAGATGAACAACGTCTACTTCATTTTGCTACATTTTTTTATTTAATTTAAATTGTTAATGCCCTGAGTTAATATTTTTTCTAATCATGCTAATTCCACTCTTTTTCACACTGTCCTATATTTTAAATGGTCACTATGGTATTTTTTTTAATTGGTGCCTGTAGTTAATTTCAACATGTGACGTGACTAAAGAGCCGACTTGTATGTTACTTTGTGCACTTAACTCTCCTTTACATTAATTCTTTTCAGTGGGTGTGTTCTAAAATGTTGGTTCATTATCACTGTTAAAAATCAATATTTTTTATTCAGAATTTTTCTCACTCTCAAAATATCTCTACTTTTTTTATGAAATGTATTGTGATTGTACAGTTGTATGAAGGTTTGTTGGGTCATGTAGTTAGCGATAAACATACATAGATTTAAGCTTGTGCCAAACTTTTGAAAGGAGCTCTACAGTAACATGATATAACTTAGTCAATGATAATGTAGTACTGCCCCAGACCTCTCCTCTTAGTACAATATTTTAGAATCTGTCAATACACTGTCGTGGGAATTCACACACAAAACTGATAATTTTAATGAAGTTCAACTAGTGTCCTAGATGACAAGCAATAGAAAATTAGATAAACAAAAAGACATGATAGATATCAGCCCTCCCTTATAATAATTCACATCAGTGTACATCCATTTCCTTCTCTTGCATTAGAGCTATTTGGTGCCACACCCTGTTGAAAACAATGTGCCACCTTTTTGAGAATAAGAAAATAATGTGTCACCCTGTTGAGAATCTTACATTCTATAAACATATATATCTAGCCTTGCCTAAGTCTGTGTCTTTATATTGTTTTAAATTTTATTTTCACCAGCGATGTATTGAAAATCATGATAAGTAAAAGATAATTCTGACTTGGGCAAGGCTAATAGTAATATCTCCTGTATATTGATATATCTTGACGCAAACAGGTGAAATAGGTTTTGGCAACGTGGCTAAAAACACATGAAAATCATTGTCATTATTCAGTTCCATATAATGTTGCCAAAAAGATGTTTTCAGTGTCCAAAATTGATGATTTTTTAAGTTTTAAAAATCTCACCGAGATGTAAATGTATTGAAAACTGGGTTTAAATCAATTTCATCCATCTTCCCAATTGTAAATGAATGAATTGTAAAGTGGAGGCAATTGGGGGTGGGGTTGGTTCAGACATTCTCCCATTCACAGTTTATGATCAAATAAATGTTTTTATTGCTTTAATAATGAATGGAATGTTGACTGATTTTACCTGTTAAATAGCTAGTTGACCTGGAGCCGACATGACAACATGTACCAGCTGTTGGCAATCAGGGTCATGAACTGAACTATGCATCACATTGTCATTATAATGTACTGTTTGACATTATCAGCTGGTATCCCTTTACTTGGCAATTGGCAATGAAAGTTAAATACACTCCCCTTCATAAGTATGACAATTATTGGAAGTTTTCATTGGGGAGCATATCAAAACCTGTGAATGTTTGAATCTTAATTTGCTAAGAGTTCGGAAATTTGTGTTACATTTTATGCATTTTTTTATATCGACAAACTTAGACAGGGTTTGATAAATGATCCAAGGGGACTTCTGGTTTCCAAACTTATTGAGGGGAGTGTATATATACTAGATACATATATCACTTATGGAGGGGAGTGTATATATACTAGATACATATATCACTTATGGAGGGGAGTGTATATATACTAGATACATATATCACTTATGGAGGGGAGTGTATGTATCACAGGGTCATTACAATGTATGGTTTGTCATTATCAGCTGGTATCCCTTGGCAATGCAATACATCATAGTTAATCATAGAGGTAGATAATTCAATGCTGTGTGCACTATGCTATGTTGTATGTTGGATGCATTTTTAATTCAGTTGCGTGCATTATTTACTGTTGTGTGCATTATTCATTAATTCGAGTGCATTATTACATCAGTTGATTATTTACTCATCTGGGTGCATATTGATTGAATTGAGTATTTACTTACTGTAGATTGGGTTAATTTGGCGCCCGCTTTAATTTGGCGAATTTGGCGAAATTGAAAAATTCGCCAATATAAATCTTCGCCAAAATTTAGAATGAATCCCCGGGAATTATCTAGGGTATTTCGTCCAGTGTATTTAGGTCACTTCCGGTTTAGTTTATTCCAAAAATATGAAAAAACGTCTTATAAATTGGCTCAGAACTGGTCAGTCACTCATTATTACTCAGGAAAATCTAGGAAGGAAAAGCGCGGTATAGTAGCAGCATCGATCGAGATGCAAAATGTAAAGGATGACCTCACAAAAATGTACAAACATGGTGAATATCGCCAGTGGTCCTCACTAAAGAAAAAAATGAACATAGCCAAACATGCCCATTTTTTTGCATATCCGCCAAATTAAATAGCCGCCAATATGCCAAAAATGGCAAAATCGCCAAATTAAGTAGCGCCAAATTAACCCAATCTACAGTATTCACCCAGTTGGATACATTAACTGTTTGGTAGGGTGCATTATCTCTGTTTTTTCAAAATTACGAGGGTTGTCCCAGAAGTAATGCACTATATGCTCTCATTTTCTTCAATATTCTTCAATTCAGCTGAAATTTTGTGTATATAACAATTGAAGTTTTATATATTATATCCTGAAGTTTCAGCAACAAATATTAATATTAAGTCTTAATATGGTTGCTATAACAACATGGGGGTAGGGGTGGGCGGGGCAGGTACCAATTTTTCTAATTATGAAAAGATCTAAAGTGTTATTTTATTAATATTTCTTTCCTTTAAATGATCAAAATGTTTGGGAAATTGTTAAATTTATTCAGCATGATGTTAACCAAGTAGAAATAATGACAAATAGCACTGTGATGTCATAATACCACATTTCAATAGTCACAAATTCAAATACAGTCACAGTCAAGAAATTGCAAAAATGGCTGCAATTTTCACCTGATAACAGAAGGCCCAAGAAATTGCAAAAATGGCTGCAATTTTCACCTGATAACAGAAGGCCTTGCGTTTGGTGGCCTTATTTCATACTTCACTTGGACTCACAGCCACGCAAAACAATGCTACCATGAAAGAAAGTATATAAGGAGTATATACCAGAGAGAACTGCAATTATGGGGTGGCAGAAGAGATTTAAAAGAGACGATTTGACCCTGGATGACAACTCCAAACATGGGAGACAAAAACTCCAAAGTCACAGTGGAAGAAATTGCCAAGAGTGTTTGACCTGACAGGCATCAAAAGTACATAACATGCAAAGGGCAATATTTTGAGAAAATGTGAAATGGGACACTGTGCAATATACATCCATTAAATCTAGGATGTGCTCATAGTAATTTAGTATCTTAAAATGTATTTTTGAGCATACTTCTTATAGCTACACAAAATGGTATTTGTTGATTAATTATTTCATATTTTCAATTTTTTATTCCTTTTTACGTGACTGTATAACCTGCCCCGCCCTACCCAAACTCACCAACTTGATTTTATTATAACATCAATATAGTTTTATCAGTCATCATGAAAATTTTTAGAATAATCAAAATGTCTCTAAGGAACATTTACTGAAAATGTCATGGAAAAATATCAATTATTGATAAAGTTAGAGCATATAGTGCATTACTTCTGGGACAACCCTCGTACTTAATGAGTAAAAAAATTACTAGGATCAGTAAATTATTTAACGAATAATGAATTAAAAATTGAGAATGTTGTCTAATCATAAATCAGTGGGATGCATCATTGTTTTTGAATGACTCATTTAGGTAGTCTTGCGTCAAGTCCCTCACCCCTACCGTATCTACTTGTAGGGATGTGTAGTTGGGATATTATTCACTCAGTCTTGGATATTATTCACTCAGTCTTGGATATTATTCACTCAGTCTTGGATATTATTCACTTAGTTTCGTTCTCAATTCTCTATAACCAAGTTAAAGAACATTATGAACATGCTATTGATTGTGTAAATGAACATCTACTTGTAATCAATTATAAACATTTCGTGTTGCTGAGTAGTTAAGAGATTTACAATACTTTGTAAATCAAGTACTTGAGACATTAAGATTGCCAACAATAGTCTACATTTTGTGTCATTGAATTAATAATGTGGGATTCATCAATGTAGGGTTTGTTATTAAGGTTATCTGGTGCCTCAATAATGTTGTTACATTTACTGGATAGCCATATCCCATTTTCTCCTGATGGAGATGTCTCAGACTGGCACTTCCTTTAACCATCTGATATAATAGTTGGTATCAGATCAATTGTATTTTTGGAAAATATTTTGAACTATACTGTATTGAATATTGCTACATTCTGAAGGGTAGATCCTTGAAATGTTCATATATCAACATGGGGGAAATGTGAAACTTAAGTCAAGGAGGCCAGGTATGATACTACTATGGGACGTCATTTTGAATTGCAGCCTAAAAACATGTTTCTATGTACTGTATGCCAATACTATATTTATTTAATGAGTAATCTGATCGACAGTTTTCCTTTTTTCAGTTCAATATCCGATAAATCATGACTCAATATAAGGACACAATTTTATAGAATCTGTCATATATAACCTAGCAGTTGCATAAATCTCATATTTAAGAAGGTCCACACAATATAAAATGTCTAGGCTTACTGTTAATCTTATTGACACCAATTTATTATCAATATGTGTTAATCCAGACCCAGACTTCTCGGTTGTAAATTAATCCACAACTTGGGAGAGAGTCAACTAAATCTTAGTTTACAAGGTGCAGTTTTTAAAAGAAGTTTTAACGATGGCTGTACGCACAGAACTGGGCGGGGGGGGGGGGGGCTATCACATCTTGAGAGGGCTTCGCTTTTATTCTAGATCATATTTATCCAACCAGACGTCCTCAGAAACTGAAACCAACCGGTATATTAGATTGGTGACTCAAACTAGAAAATATTGTTCCCTTCCTATAATATTATATTCAATTTCATTATTTTTCTGTAAAATGTCTAATATGGTATGGTATCTCAATGTGTCTCAATTTTTTATATTGTTTGTCCATTCAAGTCTAGGGATGTTCCCTATCAAACACTTAGAAGCTCACTGATTCAGTTGTTGAACAAACTTTTAAAGGTTGGTGTTTTCCCCATGTTAATTTCAGTTCCGCCCTTCCCTTCCGCCTTCCCTTCCCATTACTGTTCCTAGAAACCCGAGTGACTCCCGTTTAATACTAAGACTAAACGTTTAAAGGGGGGGGGGGGTGTTTATATTGTCATATCGGTTCTGGATAGCAATTTCAGTTTATTTATTCGCCAACTCTTTTGTAACACTTGGTTTTTAAAGATTGCTTTAAATAATCTGAACATTACTGGATAATTCTGTTAAACTAAGCCATAGTTTACCCTGAATTCCTTTCTTCAACAATTAAACAAATTATAAGTCTGATCTTAACATATAAACTTTATTGAAAAAACAAACTCCAATCGTGTAGGAATACCACATGTTGCAGATCCAATTGCACAATTAATTATCCTTTATTAAAAAAGCAGCGCCATGTGACATTCCAATCAGAATACAGTATGTCAGCTTTATAGTTCATAAACATAAATTGATAAAAATCGTCTTTGGCGTATGACGTCACTATCCCTGTGTCGCATCCTCATTCTTGAACTGTACGTGCATATCGTCTCCAGCCTTCTTGCTTCTGACAAGGCATATTCCATAAAGTCCTCCCACTCCTAGTAGGATACCAACTATCAACATAGCTATAGCGATACCAGCAAATGCACCTGAAAGAGAATATAGTACAAACTGTATATCTGAACACTCTAAATTGAACACCTGTCTATGTGAACACATTTTTGGTCACATTTTCTTTATCTTGCACTGACTTTCATGTTAAAAACCCTCGAAATATGAACCCCTGCCAAGCAAAAATTATCGGAAGAGAAAAGATAAGTTAGTAGTGCCAAATCACTTCTATTCTAAAAAAGCGAATTTGGTAAATTGTTGATTATTGCCCCTTGAACTTTTTAATTTAAAACACTGTACATCAATTTGTCAATGAGACGACGGCAAATTTAAATCTAGGAGCAATTATTTCTCACCTGTACTGATGGCTGGCGCCGCTTGTTTTACCTCCGTGGGTGCCACAGTCTGCTCACTGTCGCATGGAACACGTAGCACCTTCTTCAATGATTCCGGGAGTACGTTAACGGGGGTCGTCTGAAAATCAATATCGTTCTATTGTCAGATATATATGAAGGGTACCAAGGGTACTGTAAATCTAGCACCAGAAGGATGTATTTTCGGTGATGTATACTTGAATGGTGAAGCTGCTGATGATGACTAGTTACTAGATAAATACATGATATATTTTCGTGACCACTTGAATGGTGGAGCTGCCGGGAATATTAATACTTGGATGTGATGTCGGAAACTTTTGAATGATTTTGCTGAATACGACCAAACTCCTTTTAGGAATGTTAACATTTTACAAAGGAGTCGGACATGTGATGTAAGGCTGAATACAATCTTCTAGGAACACTAGAAAAGTGGATTTTCAGATGTGAACACAATCTGAGAGTCATTCCCCCGGGGTCATTCCACCTAACAAAACAGTTTATAGCTGTGGTTAGATTTAAAAAAAAGGTACCGTTGCATCATTGTTCAGCACGATGATCTTGAAAGAGCCATCTTTGATATAATTTGTCAGGCCAGTGACAGCGTCTTCGATTGGAACTTCAGCTATAGTGATCGTAGAGCCTTTGATCGGTGCTGCATCTAACAGTGTGAACGTAACCTGGATCTTACCATCCATGTCTTTGTCAAGCTGAAATGAATGTGCAATCAATTATCATTTCATCATTTAATTATATTGGTAGATATTGGAACATTCAATCTTATTTCTCAAAGTAAGCTTCTTATATGTATGTTATTATCATTAATGCCGTGAGATAAATCCTTAAAACTAACTACACAGCCTCTAGCTTTCATCTTGAACAGCTGGAATTGTCACAAGTAATCTCTCATGTATATGGATATCAACATCGTATATTTGAGCCTGGCCATAGGAAAACCGGTCTTATCACAAACATTGAAATTGTTCTACAGAGCCAAAATTGTGCCCAAGATTAAGAGGGAAATGTGCTAAATTCAAATCCGACATTTTGGTTTATATATGCAAGGAAAAATTGTTAAAACATAAGTCATGGCTCATTGGTCTCTTTGTGCTTTTTAAGATAAACAAAAAATAAGAATATTGAAAAAATCTGTGATAAGACCCCTTTTCCTGTGGCCTGGCTCATTTATTGATATACGAGGGGTAATCAAAAATTATTAGAGAGAGGTTATGAGAATATTATGATCGACTCTCGTACCGTCCTTTTTTGATTGTTCGAACGACAATGTGAACAGAGGGAGGGAAATCGTACACTCGGAAGACGATACTTACTCTCAAGTTACTGATTCTAATAGGAGAAATAGCCAAGTTGGCCTGGATGCTGATCAGAACATTATATCTAAACAGCTTCAATCCAATTTTGTTAATCCAGTCATCCCAGGACGCTGTAAATAAGCGAACAACATTTTTTTAAATATCCAATCAATGATTTTTATAAATCTAAACTATCATGAAACGAGACTTTGAGATGAAATCTACACAAGCTATATTTACTTTAATGAGTGGTTAACTGACTTATGGTATATTATATTTATAAACTATTGTAATAATGTTCAAGAATTAAAATTGCATCATTTTTCGCAGATATAATATTGTAAAATGATGTAAACAAAGTTATAAAAACAGAAATATATACCGGTGTAAAAGAAATTATGGTCCCCTGGGGATTATGGTCCCCTTTCTTAAAGGCCCTTACTGGCCCCGATTGTGGATACGATAATAAGGGAATGAGTTGTATTTAGGTCACCATATAAATCAATGGAGAGTAGGACCATAATTTGATAGGACCTCCTACCCTTTTACACCGGTACATGAAGTTAAAAAAGATGTACTTTTGTACTTTGGCGCCATGAAATATATTCATTTTTGTGCAGCAAAAGATGACATGGTTCATTTAAACGGTAAATTGGATTGATTGTAAATGTTACTTACCATCCATAGTAAACTGGAAGTCCGCCCTTTTCAACTTGAGGTAGCATGGACTTATGTTGAAGTCGAATATACTCTGTCGCCCCTCGGCGAAGTCGTAGATGTTGTTCTGCCACCTTTGTCCATTCTAAAAATTGCAGCATCGAAATTATGGATAGAGAATATAGATGTAATGTAATACTCATCTTGAATTATATGGCTTGCTCTGATTGCAAATGACTGAAACTCTAAGCATATACGTATCTGCTTAGATTTGAACTATCCGTACTTCTCCATTTCTAAGCTTTTAGGATTTACTTGGTTATCCGTCGACTACACCAATTTTATCACTTACAGGCAATGTAACGTCTACTTTCCATGGAACTCTTCCTTGTATGGCCAGACCTTTCTGGGCTACGACCTTGACGTCTTTCTACAAGAGACAATAGTGGATAGTGGATTTAAAACAACTGTATTTATAAAAGATCTATAAGTCACAAAACGTAATTTACCCATTTAAAGCACCACAAACTATGTAACGTATCCCTCTCATAAGTACGTGTATATAACCCTTGCCCGTAGCAATTTTTACCAGGAGGGGGAGCTTTTTTGCAGGGGGGGGAGCTTTTCCCAATTTTGGCTAAAAATCATGTGAAAAATTCTCAGAACGGTGAAAAACTGCATGATTTTGAAAGAATTTCTGGCCAGGGGGGAGGGGGAGCTTTCCCCAGCTCTCCCTCTGGCTACGGGCCTGTAACGTATCACTCTTATATATGGATGTGTAAAGTACTTCTCATATAAAAATGAGTGTAAAATACCACTTTTATAAAGACGTGTGTAAAGTACTAATCATATAAATATGTAATATATAATCATAAAAATATGTGTGAAGAATCACTCGTATAAATGTGTAAAGTACGTGTGCAAAGTTCCACTTGTATAAATACGTGTGGACTACTTATATACAAAGTATAAGTGGTTTAAATCAATACGGTACCTGTGTAAAGTACCACTCGTACGTGAGGTTAAATAAGTTCATCATCGGACGCACTCCGATCCATACGTCACTTTTGACGTCACGAACGACCCTCTGAAACATTAAACAGTTAGTGTAGCCAAACGTCATTTAATCATTTAGAGTTCATATTTTAAGAAGTTATAGATATCTAGATAGGCTAATAAGCCAACATTCTTCTTAAGCATTCACCAAGGTGATGTCCCATTAGTGAGGGGGTTGATATTACATAAATCTTGAACCAAGATAAGTTATTAAGCCTTATCTTTCATAGATTCGTTAATAAGGAAAATCGTAAATTTTAATTGTGTTTACCTGTCCCTCGTACGTATAGTTTGAATCAAGGCGGAAGAACTCCCTTGGATCGCGAATACGGATAAGCGTAGGGTCATTTGGGTCAGGGACACCATCACGTGCGAACTGACCAATAGGAGAGTAGGAGCAGTTGCCCATCACCTTGTCAATGACGTAGCTTACACCTACAGTAAGAATGGATTTGTATAGATATTTGTATGATCATAATTTGGTCATATTATGTTTTAGGCCGATATATAAAGAGGGCAGCAGGGGAACGATTTTACCGTGTATTATTTATGTACCTGATGTGGTAAAACAGATTGATTGAGCTGCCATATTTATCTAAAAATATATAGCTCTTATGACACGGACCTTGCGAATATTCCCTTTGAAAAGCAAACAAGCAAAGTATATACCTGTGGAGTAATCATGGATGACTTCTATCGGGTTTTTGTAGAGATTTGGCATACTGACGTCCACACGGAACAGGTTTTGCTTGAAGTCATACCATTCCTACAGACAAGACAAGATATTATAAATAATGTGAAAATTGTAGTTCTATAGTAAAACATAATTTGCAACAACATGAACAGGGGTCTTTTTTCTAAATGGGCTAAAATATTTTTATTTTGACTTTTACATTGCTCCTTATTTTGAGAAAAAATGTCCTAATCAAGAAGATTTTATAAGAAATGAAGGAGTTAGTCCCATACAGATTTCCAAGGAAAGGGGCGCAGCAAGGATAAACGAGGCATTAACATGCAAAATGTCACCACCTGCCATTTGTTACAGACGCCGACTGACAAATGCCGTCCACAGGAAAGTTGGAGACAATAACAATATGTCACCACGTCTGGTGGTGACTTAAAAATGGTGAAGGCTTAACTTGGGCTAAACGAAGTATATTAATACAGTGAAAGACAATACAATACAATACCATCGGACTCCATTTCCACAATTTGAGTTAAAAAAGTGTGTACAGTTATAGTCCTGTATAAATTAACATGATACCTAGCTACGCCAAAGAAGGTAGATGACTATAAATATGCTATCATTTTAATTAACCGACTCACCTTGATATTGTTGACACTGAGTGCGTCTCCTCCGATTACCTCCATCTTAAAGCTGAACGATTGTGGTATTTCGGGAGGAGGGATTGTAACTTTACGTCCAGCACAAACGATTCCCCGGTCGGTCTAAAATGAATATACAGACAATCAGGGAATTTTGTCATTATTCATATCGTAATTTTATGGGATTTAAGTATGCTTCGTGTTGATGCGTTCTTCATTGCATCATGGGAACGAATTTGATTTTCATTGGAACGTGTATTTTAAAATGTTTTTCAATCATTTTCTTACAGCGTTCAAGAATTCAGCGTTAATAATCACGGTGGTGAACTTTTTCATGCTTTACAAATTGTAATAATTTTACTGGTGACGTAAAGATAAATACGGAGATTCTTGCACGGTGATGTACAATTCTATATTTTTGACAAATAGTCGCAGGGATGTTGCCCCCATGATATCAAAACAAGATATACATTTGTCTTTTACGTACCTGAAATATTTCTTCGCCAATTTCAATCTGTGGTCGATATTGAAAGAAATTGTAGAAGTTCTCAAAATCGATATACTTCTGCTCTGACTCTCGCCAAAGCTTCCCCTTTACGTGGATCTGCACTGGAAACTGTTTGCCAGGGTAGACCAAGTCCCATGTGTTTTTGGCTAAAAATGAAACGGATTATAATAAATTACTCATTCATGGATTTGACATTACAAGCTTTAATTACGTTGGGTACCAATGTCTCAAATACTTTAAATATCTATAACAGACGATAGGATCATCTAGGTGGAGCAGAAATGAAAAATAGAGCCATAAGAGCATGTCTCACATAATGAGTGATGAACTTTTTGAAAAAACACAGGTACTATAGTTACCACCTGTCCCACGGGGGTAAAGCAGACCCGATGATGTGTCCGGTTTGATTTGTTCTTTTGTGGCGCAAAATTCACAATCATTGTTTACATTTTTGATATAGCCTATTCCGTTTGAAATCTAAATGGCTTCATGCAGGAGTGAACCTACAATAGTCTTGCTTCATTGCCCTGAACTATCTACTCTAAAAGAACATGTGTCACAAGGGCTTGTAGGTAGACGAGGGTGGACCCTGTCCGTATCAAGCGTATATAGGCTACAGCATCAGATGGAGGTAGTCAGCACAACCAGTGATCAGAATAGGTAATATTACGGAATGATGAAAACAGAAATGCTAAAGTAGAACATACCATTAAAGTAGAAGTTGACAATCATACTGGCTTTGTTTTCTGGCTGGTAGAAACAGCCATACCACCAGTCCACCAGCATCCCTCTCACATACTTAGTTCCCTTGTATTCCTCCGCCTTTGTAATCATCTTTAGAGCCTCGTTGGCGCTAAACATGCGGTACTTGCCATCTGGGGTCGTCTTCCCCATTAGGTTTCCCAGGGCACCTGTCATTGGGATCGTCGTACAGCTACCACTGTTGTTGTCTAAAAGAGATCAACAGATGAAGAGCGATTAGAAAACCTTGATTCAGGGCATTTTGTGGGAAGTGACCTAGAAGTGGATGGTTATTTGACAAACTGGAGGTGCGATTTGAGTGCAAATATTGATGTTTCCAGGGAAGAAAGTGGCGAAAATGATGATGCCAAGAAAGGCATTATAGCCCAAAACAAGTAATTATATCATTACGTCTTTCAGAACACCATCAAACAAGCGAACACAAACCAAACAAGGCAAAGAGCGACAAAGAAATAGAAAATAATTTTTCAACGATGTAGCTAGCGTTCAGTTATTCTATCATTGCAAGATCTTATCCATCTTACATGCTCTCGCGCAAAATCGTTCAAAATGCAATTTCAGAAAAGTGTGTCAATTTTTATCAAAGAGATACAAAAGTTCAATTCATCATGATTAAGGGGTATATTTCAATTTCCAGGGCATTCCTTCCTGTTATGTTTGGTATGCTTTATTTTTGATTCTGTTCAATTACTTTCATTTGTCATTGTAATATTTCACTCATCATGTGATGGAACGTTATCAAATCATGCTACTTGTTATTGATTCCACATATCAATTTGGTCAATATTTAACACTCCTTTCTGACAAAATAATTTGGTCTAATTGAATGTGAAACTTAAAACTTATTGAAACTGACTGACCAACTTATTGAAACTAACTGAAAAAGTATAAAATATTGCAAAGAATATCCAACCTAATTTAATTTAAGAAAAATAGAATATCAAACAAAATGCAAAACAGGTATAAACATTCTAGTACTATAGTACTACCCAATGGTTCGTTGGGGTTGCCAAACCTTTGTTGGGTAGTGTAACAATGACAATTAAACGGTCCTATTAAGACACAAACTTGTAGTCATGACTTACCAACAAGGAACATCTCTCTTGTCATATAACTGTAAATAAACCTTATATCGAACAATCGAGTCCTCTGACGTATCATACCCCTGTTAGCACCATAGTCAAAATATTCCTCTACATCCATCGTGTAGCCTTTCTCTTTGAAGTTACACTCTAATCTAGTCTGAAAAGTTTCCTCTAATTTGGGAGTGGGCTGACTAGGCGTCCCTTGGGTAGGAACACAAACCTGGCCAGGGTTTAACTGTCCGAAAGTTACGCCCACCAGGGCCACAAATACTGCGCTGTGAAGCATTCTGTTGTCCTTTTTTATTCCGAGATTAATGATGGATTTATCCTGATTTTATCTGTTTTAATCCATAAATTATTCTTCCATTTTACAATGTGATTTCCTACTGCTTTCGAATTTGGTAATGATAAACTAGTCTAAGAAGTTATGTATTGTCTTAATTTTCATATCTTTCAGAAATGAAGAATTGAAAATCAAAAGTCCAAAATCTTATTTATTCAGATAAAGTTATCAAATGCACAAGCTGAACATCACATTTCAACCAGATAGCAAAACTGATATTATTTACTGTATTTTCTGAAATCCCGCTCATAGAATTCAAATATTATTTGGTTTTTAAATGTCTTATAGTGAAGGTGGACTGTAAAAATACATTTTAAAATGAAGATAAGTAATTGTGCGCTTCTTTCTCTCCAATTGTAAGTGAAGGGAAAGGACGGATGGATAATTTAGCCCGTTAAAATTACATATTTGCCATCGACTACAATGTTTTTAATGTCCATGACTTCATAACTTGTGCCCATTGAGATTTGAAAGTAGTCTCTTGTGCGCGAGACATCAAATATAGCGATACACGTGCTTTGGAATCAAAATAAGGTATAAGAACCTGAGAACGCATGAAGCTGTTTAATAAGTCAGAAATCAGAAATATAAGGTCCACCAAAGGTCAGTTATTTTCAGCTCCATGTGATCATTAGAACTATAAGGTTTACTAGAAGGTCAGTTATTCTCAGCTCCGTGTGATCATTAGAAATTAAAGGTCCACATAAAGGTCAGTTATTTTCAGCTCCATGCGATCATTAGAACTATAAGGTCCACATAAAGGTCAATTATTTTCAGCTCTATGTTATCATTAGAAATTAAAGGTCCACATAAAGGTCAGTTATTTTCAGCTCCATGTGATCATTAGAAACATAAGGCCCACGAAAAGGTCAGTTATTTTCAGCTCCATGCGATCATTAGGTCCACGAAAAGGTCAGTTATTTTCAGCTCCAAGCGATCATTAGAAACATAAGGTCCACGAAAGGTCAGTTATTTTCAGCTCCATGCGATCATTAGAAATTAAAGGTCCACGAAAAGGTCAGTTATTTTCAGCTCCATGCGATCATTAGAACCATAAGGTCCACGAAAAGGTCAGTTATTTTCAGCTACATGCGATCATTAGAAACATAAGGTCCACGAAAAGGTCAGTTATTTTCAGCTCCATGCGATCATTAGAAATATAAGGTCCACGAAAAGGTCAGTTATTTTCAGCTCCATGTGAACATTAGAAACACAAGGTCCACGAAAAGGTCAGTTATTTTCAGCTCCATGCGATCATTAGAAACATAAGGTCCACGAAAAGGTCAGTTATTTTCAGCTCCATGCGTTTATTTAGAAACATAAGGTCCACGAAAAGGTGTTATTTTCAGCTCCATGTGAACATTAGAAACATAAGGTCCACAAAGTCAGCTATTTTCAGATCCCTGTGACCATTGGAAATATGTCAAAGGTCGGTTATGTTCAGCTTCATGTGATCATTTATAATATAAAGACCACAAGGTCAGAAATATAAGGTCTATTAGAAGGTCAGTTATTTTCAACTCCATGTGATCATTAGAAATATAAGATCCACAAAAAGGTTAATTATTTTCAGTTCCATAGAAATATAACGTCCACTAAAGGGTCAGCTAGTTTCAGCTACATGCAAAAGTATACACATACAAAGTATATCAAGAAGCAATTGGCTTTAGCTTTGTGCAATCATCTCTCTTCAAGAATAGGTTTACAAGTCTTGCAATGGGCAGCCATAAATTGGTTGACTAGTGCCAGTATTTCTAGTTTATCTTAATACATAAAGTGAGATCTGATCTAACAAAACATAAAAAAAATTGTTTATAATTGAATATATTTTTCTTCAGTACTAAAATATTAGCCTACCATGTACAAATTCAGTATTCATATACATGTCATCATGCTTATGCTAACTACAGGGTGTTCAAAAAAAAACGCAACCCAAAGAATTCGCTATATCTTGGAAAATTCTTATCCAATTGTGTTCATATTTTCAGGAAAAAAAGAAGAGACTGTGTATGAATAGCTTCTGTTGTTAGTTTGTTGTAAAACATGATGTCTTGTACACCAGCTCAAAAGGCAGTCGTACATGGAAAATACGAAAAACGCGAATGGAAAATCACTATATCTTGGAAAATACTAATTCAATTATGTTCATTTTTTCAGGAAAAGAAAGAAGATATTGTGTATGTATAGCTCCTGTTGTTCGTAAGTTGTAAAACACGATGCATTGGACACCTGCCCAAAAGACAGTTGTTCTAGGAAAATACGAAAAACGCAGTCAGAGGTGACTGCCACAGCAATAAAACCTCACAACTTTCTAACCATAGTGTTTTGGCACTTCAGATTTGGCACAGATTATCCTCATTCAATGTGTGGTAAATTTGTGGAGTTTCATCAAAATCACTTCAGGGACTTTACAGTTATGGTCAAAATGCCTTCTGAAGTCTGCCGGAACCAGGGCGTTTTACTGAGATTTGAAAGCATTTTGACCGTAACTGTAAAGTCCCTGAAGGGATTTTAATTTCACTTTAGAGATTTACCATACAGTGAATGAAGATGATTTGTGCCAAATTTGAAGAGCCAAAACACTATGGCTGAAAAGTTATTAAGTTTTTTTGCGGTTGCAGTCAGCCCTGACTGGGTTTTTCGTATTTTCCTCGTACAGCTGTCTTCTGAGCAGGAGTCCAATGCATCATTTTTTACAACTAACCAACTACAGGAGCTATACATACACAGTCTCTTCTTTCTTTCCTGAAAAAATGAACATATTTGAACAAGTATTTTTCAAGATATAGCAATTTCTTTGGGTTGCGTTTTTTTTTTGAACACCCTGTATATCTGTAACATATCTTAAAATCAGATTTAATATTTCATTGGAATCGACTAACATTTAATGGTGGTTTACAGATCTTATAATCTGATAATAATATCACTAACACAGAAGAATACAAAAATATAATATTATGTTTAGTATATGACTTATGTATGAGTGGGATAAAATAATGCCTTCAATTTACAATGACATTTTCATGCAAAGCACCTCATTATAATTTCATTTTTTCTTAGATACATTCAGGTAACAGACAAGCTAATTTCAAGAACTGAGTTGTGTCATATGGTTTCCAAAATTATTCATATTGTGGCATATTTCTGGCACAAGTATATTTTAAATGTGATTTTTCAAACCAAACTTTGTTAAATTTTAAAATAATGAAAAGATGCATATTCTGTTAACTCTTTGATGTTGAAATGGTTGTTCATAGAACAAAAAAAGAAATTATCACAAAAAGTTCCCTAAACATTTCCTTGAATCAAACAGATCAATAAGTAAGTTGTCACCGTTTTTTTGTACATACACTGTAAATCCATTTTACTAATAATTCATTTTAACCCATTTGTGTGAATTAGGCATATTCAATAGGAAAACATCACAACTGAAACACCATTCATATTTCAACCATCACAACTGAAACACCATTCATATTTCAACCATCACAACTGAAACACCATTTATATTTCAACCATCACAACTGAAACACCATTTATATTTCAACCATCACAACTGAAACACCATTCATATTTCAATGATGCATTTTTAACAATCAATAACATTTTTGTAATCAAGTTGCATGTGCTCTTAAACTTCAGTAAAACTCTAAATATGTAAAAATGAACATATTTAAAATATGCCAATAGAAAGAACATATTTGGTTACAAGCGAAATTGTTCACTGAAAACATGAAAACGACTTTTATGCAATACAATTCATGTAAAAACATTTGTGACTGGAATAAGGAATTTACTATAAAGGTATTGTACTTCTCACTATAAAGATAATTTAAGGTTTTAGCTAATGGCCTATATGAAATTCTCATATCATTTAAATATGTTCTGTGTACCATGATTTCTGGCATAAGCACCTTTCTTTCATCACATATATGGTTTAATATGACTTCAATTTGGCCATTCAAAAATTCAAAACAAGATCACAGATTTACCTGTTTACAGTTTTTTTGTATTTTGAAATTATTCCACGACAATCTGTCTAATAGGCTTAGTTGCTACTTTTCTGAAAAGAAGCACGAAGAAATCTTCCAGTGGATGACTACAATAATTGCTTTCAAAATAACACCCAGTCACCCATGGGCTTTTATTTAGTAAATTATTGATTTCTCAGTCTGTCAAGCAAGACAATGTTTTTTACAGAGCAAAATAGTCATACTAAATAAAGTACAGAAGTAATTACAACTGCATATTTGATTCATCTCAAAAAATAAACAGATAACAACTATTCCAAAATTAATAGATTAGTTTCCTCTCAGTTCAATTAAGCACAATTCAATATGTTTGCACACTTTTCATTTTGATAACTTTTGGCACACCCAGACCCAGATATTTCTCAATTTACATATCACTGTCTGCACATACAAAATGTCACTACTGTTAAGAACTCAATTGGCCTTGTTGTTTGCCTTCTGTTGTTTTCCCTTTACATTTATGCTTGAGTAAATTCCACTTATCATAACAACTTCTATGACAAACCTCACATTCAAATTTCTTGATTCTGAGATGTATACGATTCACATGTTTGTGAAGATCGTCCTTAAATCTGAAGGTTTTACTACATTCCTCACACTCAAATTCCTGTTTCTCCTCATTATCACCATGTTTACGCAACATATGCATCTTAAGATTTCCTTTATATTTTGATTTGTACTTACAACCAGAACTCTGGCAAAAGAATGTTGTGGCTGCGTTAGGATCAACCAGAAATTTTTCCTGATTTTTCATTTTACTGTCATCATGCACATTCTTGATGTGACTAATCATTTGTGCTTTTTGTATTGACCTATAGCTACACATAGGGCAGCCATGCCTCTTCTCACCAGTATGGGTTGCTATATGGTTTTTAAGTGCGCTACTATCAAAGTATTTATTATTGCAATATGTGCATGCATACTTCTTATTGTTGAGAGTATGAATACGAGCCACATGACGGGATAGCGTTCCATTAGAGGCGAATGTCTCCTTACAGAGGCTGCAAGAAAGGCGGCGGGTACTGTGCGAGGGACTAAGCCTAGGGGTGGAAGGAATAACAGGGGGCTGTGGGGTGGGCTGAGGAGGGGTAGGCTGGGTGTTGTTCTGAGGAGCAGTGTTCCAAGGAATCATATTCTGAAGGGTAGAGATGTCGGAGTATTGTTGGGTTGTTGGTTGTTGAGGTATTAGCTGCATACCAGATTGTGTTGGTTGCAGGTTGTGCCACACAGCCTGGGGTTGTGTTGACATCTGCTGAGATTGCGCTTGGAGATGCTGGGGTTGTGCCATATTTTGTGGTTGTGCTAACATTTGAGGTTGAGGTTGGCCCAGGTTTTGTGGCTGAATAAGGTTTTGTGGTTGCACTAGATTTTGAGGTTGCGCTAGATTTTGAGGTTGGGCTTGGTTTTGACCTTGCAAAAGTGACGTCAGCGTTTGATTGGTTGGTTGATTGGTTTGACTCTGGTTTTGTGGTTGAACAGGGTTCTGAGGTTGTTGAGAAATTGGCTGGGCTATACTAGAGGGTCCCATCATATTATGCATTGAGGCTTGTTGTATCGGACCAGCAACAGATGTCACTACTGCAGAAGTGCTAATTGGTATGGTGGGGGTAGGAGCATCACTTTTCTTTTGTTGTGTAACAATGACTTCACGCACCCTTGCTGAGGACTGGGGCTTGAACTGTTTTTTCTTTTTATGAAAATGTTGTGTTCTGATATCTCCTAGCTGGTCGTTGTCACGTAAATATTTATAGGTGGCGTACTTAAGCCCATGCTGTACAGAGATGTGCATCTGTAGGGCATACACACGGGCCATGAACTTATCACAGATTGCGCATTGATGTGGACGTTTACGTTCATGCACTGTTTCAATATGGAGTTTAAGATTGTTGGCATCATAGAAACTTTTATTACATATTGTACATGATGATCTACGAACTTTCTCATGTGTCCTCGCGACATGATTCCTGTAGTTTTCCTTTGAGAATAATTTATCACATTGGTCACAACGTATCATTATTCTGTCTCCATGCCTCTCTGTTCTTGTATATGAGTAGACCTTCTTTCTGCCCCTCATTTTCTCCGGCTCTCCCTTCTGATGCACTTTCCAGATATGCCTCAATATAGTACTCCTAGTGAAAAATTTGCCACAGATACTACACTTTTCACGCATTTGGTTAGACCCGCTTCTGGTGAGTTTTTTGATAGGTTCAGCATTTTTACTTGTGTCTTCAGCTATCATTTCCTTGGACTGTTCATCTTTTGTTTTCACTTTTCTTTTTCTCAATCCACCTCGTTTAGTTACTGATAAACTTTCATAAGGTGCTTCACTATCAGATTCCTTATCAGAGTTTGTTGGTTCTTTATTTGGAGCTTCCTCTGAAGGGTTGTCAACATTTAGTGTAGTTTCTTGAGAATTTGAATCACCATTATCAGCTTTATTGTTAGTTCTCTTAGGTCTTCCTCTGCTACGCTTTGCCTTTGATTTCTTGGGTTTATCAGTTACTGCGCTATCTTCAACTTTTTCTTGTTCAGTTGTAGGCTGGTCATGCTCATTATTGGCCTTGACTGCCTTATCAGGGGGTGTTTCCTTATAAGCATCTGGGTTTGGTTCTTGATGGCCAGTTCTTTGTTGAGTAGGTGCTTCAAGGACTTGAGGGTTTATTTCTTGAGGGGCAAGTACTGGAGTATTATGTTCTTGAGGGGTATGTTCTGCAGGGTTTGTTCCTTGAGGGAAGGATTCATCAGAACCTTTGGGGTATGGATGAGTTGGACCCAAAAAGGGATCAGTCCCCTGTGGGTGGAGGTCAGTCCCCTGGGAATGGATATCTCCTTCTCGTTGATGTGGTTTTGATGTTTGTGTCTGTGTTTGGGGGAGTTCCATTTGAGACATCTGGGGACATGATTCCACAGGGTTTGGTTCACGATGCAGTTGGTCCTCCCTTGGACTGATATAGGGGTGAGGTAAAGGGAAAGGAATGTGATGAGGCAGGCTTGTTGGGAGAGGGTGGGCTATACCAGATACAGGTGCCAAGGGATTTTGTAGATGCATACGAACTTGTGGTCGGGGCATATAATGTTGCACTAGGGTGACATTGGGTGGCACTGGTTGCATGGAATCTATAGTTTGACCTTGAGTGGGTATGGGGAGTGATTCAGGGGATTTTGAATTCGGCAGAAGGGGTTGATGGTCAGTACGGAATGTGGGTGGTAAATCAGAGAAAAGTTGGGAGGAGTATGAGCTGGTCGACTGTAGACTGCCCAGGAAACTGGAGCTGTGAGGCACAGTATGGTTGTGTAGTAGTGCATCTGTTCTATCATAAGAGGCCTGGGGGAGGCTAAGAGCCATATCAGGATAAAGAGACATCACAGGAGGCTCCATTGGGGGTTTCTGAATATCAGTAGCAAGATTTGCAACATTATGAGGAACAGATATTTTTAGTTTGAGGCTCGCTTGTTTCACTTCGGGTGAGTCATATATCAATCTGGGGATGTCCTGACGATAAATCACATCTAGTACAGCTTTTAGTCCAAGCTCAGATATCTCTGTAAGTTTATGGATAGTCACTGTAGAGAGAACTTCTAAGTTGGCTGCAAAATATTCACTGGAGGCAGCCAGAATGACCTTATGTGCCGGGTAATCCACATCACTGCCATCATTGCGTGTCACAGATAACAAAATGTCACACAGCTTACCGCTGATACGCATGTCATTGAGTGATTTCCAAAACATCTTCACCCCATCTGCTTGTTTTCGTAGCAACTCATTCTGAGCTTCCATATTGAACCTGAAAATAGATGGCATGCTTGTTATAAAACAATCAACTTGGTAGCTAGAAGATGGTTGGTTGCTATGGTGTAGACATGGTGTGATGGAATGTTCTCAATGACATGCGTGGTTGGCTGGCAAGCAGTGCTTCAAACTTTGGAAATCTTGGAAATATATGTTAAAACTTATGTGCAGAGTGTGTTGGTTGTATTGCATAGTAGAAAGCCCTCGCTGTAAAGTACATATTCAAGTGTCTTTCCTTCCTATTGCATATGCATTGGCTGAGGATTGGGCTGTGATTGCACACTGGGAACTATATCAGCTGAATTGGTTATTACATGTACATTGCTCTGTGGTCGATTCCCTTTACATTTATGACGCACCAAGTCCTGTTTATCATAGCACAGTTTACTACATCCTTCACACTGGAACTTCTTCACTTTCAGATGAACTCTCTCTACGTGTTTCTGAAGGTCATCTTTAAAGCGGAACGCCTTTCCGCAATCTGTGCATAATATCTGTTCATTGGTGGTTCCCTCTCCATGACGTCTCTGCATATGCATCTTAAGGTTTCCTTTGTATTTTGATGAGAACTCACAAAGACGGCAATAATATGTGTTAGCAGCTTCAGGGTCTAGGATGAACTTGGCAGGTTTCTTCTTATCAGTGTCGTGAACACGTCTTATATGACTAAGTAACTGTGCTTTCTGGATGCATCTATAACTACACACTGGGCACACTTGGTTTTTCTCTCCTGTATGGACAGCTATATGTAACTTCAGACCAGTCGAATCGAAACATTTCTTGCCACAAAAGGTACATGTGAATTTCTTACTGCCATTGTGGACTCTTGCTATATGGCGCGTGAGGCTCCCATTGGTTGCATATGTTTCCCCGCAGATATTGCATCCATAACGGGTTTGGGTCTGAGGGGGTGTTGGGTGGGGTTTTGCTTGGGGGAGTGACTGAGGCACTGAGGTCGGAGCAGTCACAGCACCCTGAAGCTGATTATTAAATTGAGGCCAGGACTGGGTGGCAGGTCCCAGCAGGTTCTGATAGTGCTGATCTTGGACTCCCATAGGGTTATTCGACACGAGGGGAGGGGATTGTAGCGAGGGCCACATGGATGCCATTGGTTGTTGTTGTTGCTGTTGTTGATTGTTGCTAGGCAACAGCTGGGGCTGCTGTTGCTGTTGTAATTGCTGTAGTTGAACTGGATGCACAACCTGTTGTTCTATGGGGGTAGGGGTGTTACTCTGGCTGGTGCTCTGTATGTTATTAGCCATCTGGTTGGGAGGCATCATCTTCACTGGCCGATTTATCTGATTCTTCAAAGGACGGGAACGTACTGAGCTAACCTGAGATTTTCCACCCTGGCTGGATTCCCACTTAGCTATGATGTCTGTCAACTGATTTTTAGATTGAAGTTCTTTGTATTTATCAAACTTGAGGCCATGTTGTATCCCAAGATGTACCTGAAGAGCATGGGATCTTGCCATAGCTTTACCACAGATGTCACAAATAAAAGGTCGCTTGCCTTCATGAACTGTATCTACATGCATTCGCAGGTTTTTCAAGTCATAGAAACTTTTCCCACATCGTGTACATGAATGACGCTTGATTTTGTCATGAGTGCGTGCAATATGGCTCTTCATACAAGCCTGTGATATGATTATACCACAAATGTTACAACTAACTTTCATTCTCTTTTTATTGCTCTTCCCAGGGTCTAGTCTTCCTGCTCTGTGCCTGAACCGCTTGGCTGGCTTCTCCCCCATCTGATGAACCCGCCAAATATGACGTAATATATTTGCTTGGTTATAGGTTTTATCACATATGGCACATTTCTCTTTGGTTTTGCGTCCATGTGCGCGATGTTTTGTCTTGGCAGGTCGGATATCCCCAGATCTTGTAACCATGAACTTGTGATACATTTCATCTTCAGATTCAGAAGCAGACACAAATGGATCTTTGTAGGTTTTACGTTTTTTCATTTTTTCCCGACGTTTAGCTCGACTTACTGTACTTATAGCAAGGTCAAGGTGATCTAAAGGTTTACGTTTGGATCCATCTGGGATTTCATCTCGTAGAAATGTGATTGGTAGTTTATTCTTGCTGTTCGTCATTGCACTCATCTCTTTGTGAATTGAAGCCATGGATTCAGCGGAGAGGATGTTTTCATGCCCAAGTACCGATGCATGATGGGATACATCTCTATAGGCGGCAAGATCTTGAGGGGTCTGAGAATGGGGGTCAGGGGGTGCACTCACACTTACATCAGGACGCCAGGTTGGCTCACTGTACATACTGGGGGAGAATGAAGGATTCTGGGGTGGAGGCTGCTGTTGTGTGTTTGTGAAGCCAGTGACCATGTTTGGCACATTCTGGATGTTCATTGTATTAGGCACTTGGGGTATGTTAACACTTGTGTTCACCAGATTGTTCATAGAGTTTGGGATATTATTCATGGCAACTTGGACTTGGTCCTCCTGTCCCCCCAGGCCGGACCTCTCATAGCTCTGAATTAACCCAAGGGCAAGCTCAGCATATATGGGCATAGCAGGTTCATTCATTTTCTGTTCGACAGTATATGGGTTGTATTGCTCGGGGAGCATGATCTTCAACTTATCAGCAGCTTGTTTAACTTCCGTGCTCTCAAATATCAATTTAGGTATTTCTTGGCGGTAGATCACATCTAACACAGCCTTGAGGCCTAGCTCTGTTATATCTGACAGTTTATGGATGGTCACTGATGCTAGTACATCAAGGTTGGCTGCAAAGTAGCGACTAGATGCCGCAAGGATGACTTTATGTGCAGGGTACTCTACATCACTACCATCATTACGTGTTACAGATAGGAGGATGTCACACAACTTGCCGTTAACTCGCATGTCATTGAGGGCATTCCAAAATGCAGCCTCCCTTTCATCTCGCTTACGGATCTGTGGTGCTGCCATCTTTCAGTACAGTCTGCAAATAAACACAATTAATATACTCCCACCCACCCTTTAAAAGAAGGAAGTAAACATCAGAAAAAGCACTAAGTGTGCTTCATAATATATATTTGTTCATATTTTCCATTTATATAAAAAAATAAAATATTGTACTCCCATTAATATTTGACGCTATTATATTTCGTTTTTCGCATTTTGCGGTTATTATATTTTGTCATTTTTCAGTTTTTTTGAAATTTCGCTGCTATTAATTTCCGCGGATTTGTCATACAGGATCACTCTTTCAACTTTGATATCAGCCATGGTTGTTCCATCACCCAATGATTTTGGCTTCTTATTAAGCCTTTTCGTTAGAATGTTCATTTTAATACAGTAATAACGACCTCTGTTCTAATTTATCTTTTCCAAAACTCAAAATGCCACGATTTTACCTATTATCACCCAGCACTGGACGTAAATATTGTCAACTCTGAAATCCCGGGAAATTTCTTGGAATTTCGCGACTATTTCGTGAATTTTCCAAAACTCACGAAAAGCGCGAAATATAGTAGCGCGCGAAAATTACTGTGAGTACAGTATTTATTTAAAAATTGAAAAGCCTTTGTATAAAGAAAAAAGCATACAGGCACAGGGATAATTTCTTTCTCTTAGAATTAATTGATCTAACAATATTAATGAAATTTATTTGGAATAACATAAACATACCCTGGTTTCAACCAGTCTCTCAAATGATGCCTGCTAGTTTGTAATCTATCACTGCTAGTGTAGATCTATTACATGTACATATGAACATCCCTCTTGCATGTCTTGCATCTGTAAGTAGACAGGTACATGTATTATTAAGTTAGTTTGGGAACAGATGATATTTCATTTCATCTAAATTATACAAATTCAAAGTATGTTATATCAATTTTTCATGTATATATACTAATACTGAGTAAAATATGTATTAAATCTAAGATACCAAATACTATGCATGCAATTACTCTGTTAGTCAAAACTACCAGCATATATACATGTACTGTACATAGTATTGTTAAAAAATAAACTAGAAGTTAAACATTTACTGCATTCATTGAGTGATGTTTACAAAATAACATATAACACAATATATTATTTATTTATATATTATATGTTTTTTGATTGCTCTGCAATAATTTTTGACATAAGCACTTATAACATGCCCAATTACTAAGGGTGTCAAGTGCACATGCTGTAACATTCCATTGTTATATTATCATAAAATAAATAAATAAAATAAAAAATATTCCTTGTGGTGAAGCTCTGGAATACTGTCCTTTAGTCAATTAAAGATGATAACTCAATACAATGCTTCGAGACAAGGCAGTACCAGGATGAAAACTCAACATGACAATGTGAGGATAAACACTCATTGAGACATGCAATATAATTACTCGACATGATCCCCTCACTGGCTCAACCAGTTCAATCTAGACCTGAAGATGAAAACTCAGGAGGCAAATAAAATGGGTTCATACTTAAATCACTGGCAGATCCAGGGGCCCCCCTCCCATTGGGTGGGCCCAGGAATTTTTTTAAAGGCCCCAAAAATAAATGCAGGGCCTCAAAAATAGGTCTTTTTAAACATAACCTGGCCTATTTTGGCCAAATTATCAAAAGGGCCTTAGGTTTTCAATTTAGGCCCAATCTTTGGTTTTTAGGGCCAAATTTTTTTGTTTGTTCCAGACTGAAATGTCTGGAATGCAAATCCTTGTTAGCTTCTGGATCAGCCAGTGTAAGTAATAACCAAAACACAAAATTGAAGGGAAAATATCCTTTAAAATGTTGGTCCATCAACAATCTGAGGTCAGTTTTGAAATGTGGGCCTATTTCAATTAGAGACGAAATGAATGATCAACTGAAATGCGTCAGTTGAAACTAATACCAGTGGTATATGTCTCAGATTCGATATAAATCAATTGATCCTTTGATATAAAAGACACTATATGCAATATTGATTTTTCTATTGGCTGAAGCCACACATGGCCTTCTTTGCAGCACATGTTATACTCAATATACCTTCAGAGGTACCCCTATATTGAAACATGTATTCTGATATAAGCCCAGATCTATTTTGGGGGATGTACACACCTAAAATCACATCTAAAGGTGAGAATTACTTCAGGAGGAAAAGTTTGGATGGAGCTCAAAATTAATCACAACAATAAAATTATAACTTAGATTATTTACTTCTATTTCAATGATACTGGTAATCTTTTATGATTTTATACCCTCCAGAAGGGAGTTTGAATATTTGCACTGCATGACCTAATTAAAAATGCAGGCCGTGTCTGTCCCAAATTCCTGAAACTTTCTCCAAACTTCCCCACCAATCTAAGTAATCAATACATACAAAAGTATAAGCAAACAAATCAACGTAAATCCAGGATAACAATGAGAAAATTGATGCCAGTCATTATTGCAAATAAAAGGTTTAAAACTGCATGCAAACATTCCTTTGTGCAATCTACATGTAAAACAAGATGGAGGTGCTTATGCAGGGCGACATTGTGCGACCTTTAGTCTTTCATAAACTTTGATTGACATTTTCGTTGCGAAAACTTGGGGATTATCAATCACAAACGTTGAGATAAATTCTCCAATGCATGATCAATGAAATCTAAGATACACTTACGCGCTTTAGGAGAATCTAGATGGATAAAACAAACGCAGAAACGCTAGCCTACAAGACGTCCGCTCATGAGTAACGCAGCTTCTATCGATAGGTGGCAGCACATCTAAAGAGAAAGATACCCGGATGACCGGAGAAAGTAAATATTTTTTCTCCTCAGTTTTTGTGAAAAATCACATCTTAAACAGGCCTAATCGCCAAAAAAGGTTTGCCTACGTGTTAAGTAATATATATTATGACATACATTTGCTATTCTTGTCGATGTCGGTTTCTGTTCTAGAGTAGATGTCATTTTAGTGAAAATTTGATTTTTTGGTGGGTGATAATAGGCTACTATTTTTTTCATGGCCTGAGCATAGGAGACAGGTTACCTGAAAAGGAAGATAGATATCATTATCAAGGACTGAAACTGAGGCAAGTCTACCCTGGCTGAAATCAGCTCTGAAATAACAATTACTGCATGTCAAGCCGTCATTCAATGCTGATTTTGTAGAAAACAGATCTGTCCATCCTTCTACATGTGAGTTTTTCCCATAAAGATGCTTGATTAAGTAGAAATTCATCAAATTATACCCCTAGAATATCAAAGTTCAACTGTACATCAATCGCGTGAGGAAAAAAAACAAAGCCATTCTTCACCTTCTGTTCACAAACCCTTCTTCTTCTTCTTGGAAAAGTTGTCCCTCATTTGACTAACAGCAAATGTGTATGTTTATGCAGCAATATATGTTAGTTTAGAAAATGATTAATTACAATCTTACCTGTACTTCACAGAAACATCCTAAGTATGAAAATATTTCACTAAAAATACATGCTTCCATTTTGTCACATGTTCATAATAATGTAACAACTAGCCTAATTTGGGTAGTGTGGATGGTTGTTATTTATTTTATTAGGCTAAGTCACTTCGAGGGATACTTGGTGCACATTAAATGCACGTGATGATATAGCGACACAACATCGAATATAAAATAAACACACATATATTGTTGCTTATCCAGCCCAAAAATGTATACAGAATAAATCGGTGTAAATTAAGTTGTAGAGAGACTACTTGAAAGTCCTTTGTTTATGTGAAATATCAAAGATTATATTAAAGAGTCTATCTTTCTCTATCAGTTATATCTTCTGAGTTTCTGGACATCAGTTATATGAAATATTCCAAGTTTCTAGACATCAGTAGTTGAAATATTCTAAGTTTCTGGACATCAGTAATCGAAAGATTCTAAGTTTCTGGACATCAGTAATCGAAATATTCTAAGTTTCTGGACATCATTGGTCGAGAATATTCTATCTTTCTGACATCAGTTATATCTTCTAAGTTTCTGGACATCAGCTACACGAAATATTCCAAGTTTCTAGACATCAGTCGTTGAAATATTCTAAGTTTCTGGACATCAGTAATCGAAGTATTTTAAGTTTCTGGACATCATTGGTCGAGAATATTCTATCTTTCTGACATCAGTTATATCTTCTAAGTTTCTGGACATCAGTTATCGAAGTATTCTAAGTTTCTGGACATCATTGGTCGAGAATATTCTATCTTTCTGACATCAGTTATATCTTCTAAGTTTCTGGACATCAGTTACACGAAATATTCCAAGTTTCTAGACATCAGTCGTTGAAATATTCTAAGTTTCTGGACATCAGTAATCGAAGTATTCTAAGTTTCTGGACATCATTGGTCGAGAATATTCTATCTTTCTGACATCAGTTATATCTTCTAAGTTTCTGGACATCAGTTACACGAAATATTCTAAGTTTCTGGACATCAATTATCGGGAATATTCTATCTTTCTGACATCAGTTGCTGGGAATATTCTATCTTTCTGACATCAGTTATCGAAATATTCTACGTTTCTGGACATCGGTTGCCGGGAATATTCTATCTTTCTGGACATCAATTGTCGAGAATATTCTATCTTTCTGGGATGTCGTAAATATACTAAGTTTCTGGACATCAGTTGCCGGGAATATTCTATTTTTCTGACATCAGTAATCGAAATATTCTAAGTTTCTGGACATCGATTGTCGAGAATATTCTATCTTTCTGGGATGTCGTAAATATTCTAAGTTTCTGGACATCAGTTGCCGGGAATATTCTATCTTTCTGACATCAGTTATATCTTCTAAGTTTCTGGACATCAGTTATCGGGAATATTCTATCTCTCTGGACATCAGTTATACGAAATATTCTAAGTTTCTGGATATCAGTTGCCGGGAATATTCTATCTTTCTGACATCAGTTGCTGGGAATATTCTATCTTTCTGGGATGTCGTAAATATTCTAAGTTTCTGGACATCAGTTGCCGGGAATATTCTATCTTTCTGACATCAGTTATATCTTCTAAGTTTCTGGACATCAATAGTTGAGAATATTCTATCTTTCTGGGATGTCGTAAATATTCTAAGTTTCTGGACATCAGTTGCACGAAATATTCCAAGTTTCTAGACATCAGTCGTTGAAATATTCTAAGTTTCTGGACATCAGTAATCAAAATATTCTAAGTTTCTGGACATCATTGGTCGAGAATATTCTATCTTTCTGACATCAGTTATATCTTCTAAGTTTCTGGACATCAGTTACACGAAATATTCTAAGTTTCTGGACATCAATTATCGGGAATATTCTATCTTTCTGACATCAGTTGCTGGGAATATTCTATCTTTCTGACATCAGTTATCGAAATATTCTACGTTTCTGGACATCGGTTGGCGGGAATATTCTATCTTTCTGGACATCAATTGTCGAGAATATTCTATCTTTCTGGGATGTCGTAAATATACTAAGTTTCTGGACATCAGTTGCCGGGAATATTCTATCTTTCTGACATCAGTAATCGAAATATTCTAAGTTTCTGGACATCGATTGTCGAGAATATTCTATCTTTCTGGGATGTCGTAAATATTCTAAGTTTCTGGACATCAGTTGCCGGGAATATTCTATCTTTCTGACATCAGTTATATCTTCAAAGTTTCTGGACATCAATAGTTGAGAATATTCTATCTTTCTGGGATGTCGTAAATATTCTATGTTTCTCAGCCTCTTAGTCCCTCGTCTGTAGATGAGACACTGACATAGGAGCTCCTTCCTCTTCAAAAGTGGTGTACGTGTCTGCTAGGAGCGATCAGTGCTCTGCTTTTATACCCCAGACATGTATGTAGCATGTACTAGGCACATGGCTTTCACGTGACTAATGGGCTGATGCAATACCTAGTCAGTCCACTAGAATCCCAGGCAGGATATCACTAGTGCAAAATAAACAACCATGGTGCAATGAGGAAATAACTTTTGCAAAATAAATGGCTTTGCCTAGCAATCACGATTTCTGCTGTTTAACACAAAACGAACACATATCTTGTAATTTATTAGCTAGATTAAGATATAAACTAGATAAATATAACAAAAACCAATCATCATTGACTCTAATTATGGTGAAATTGCAAGGAAAAACGAGTAAGTGAATGTAGGTCAGCAGAGTTCTTCTACAGGAAGTGAGAAAAATGTACAGATAAAAACAAAAATGAATCTCACAGAAAATAGCAGTTAAAACGACTCCCTGTACATCTAAAGTGTTCCATACCTTAATGTAAGTATAACACCTATCAACCTTGACTGGGAAACACTTTCCTACTGTCAAAACTGTCTGAACTGCTAGAAAATGGTACTGGACTCCAAAGATAAAAAATTGAAAAATTAAAAATTTGTTACACTCCTCCCATCCAATGATTTTGGTGTTTACAACACCAAGCCTAAGTACATAAAAAGATAACAAATTTTTTCTAACTAGATATTTTCTAAAAATATAACCTGCCAAATATACTTAACCCCAGGGTCAACTAGCTGCAACTACAATGCACAACAAAAGTTCGGAAACCTAAACTCATTAAACGCTGGTATCTCAAAACTTAACACTAAATATCTAACTACCTACTTAATACAAATGTCTAACTACTATGTACAAAAACCTTTCAGTTTTAACTCTCAGCTAATTGTTAAGTATGAATACAAAATTATACTCATGCTAAATGTCTCGTTCAAGGCTCAACTCTCTGGTTAGGGCTTCACTCTATGGGAATAACAATGATCCCTCCAGTTGCCATCCAAGTCACGCTCAGGTTGAGTCCTCCAATGTCTCGTTCTATAAATTTTGGATAGGGGTGCCTTAGCTGAGTAAGTTCTGGGTTCCTCATCCGTACTGTCAATTCTAAGGTTGTAGTCTCCACTTAGCCCAGACACTTTACAACATCTTTTGTTCCTGGCACATCTATGTCCTCTGAAGCGGGGAAAACCAGCTAGATCCGCAGCTGTCCTCCTAGACGATCTCTTGGGATGTGTCGAGCTGTCTCTCGGCCTGAATCTTTCACGTTGATCTACCTCTCTGTCTTTGACTTCACTCGCTCGATCTTTAGGCACTCCTGAGTCTATAGGGCAATCATAAAAACCTCCAGGATTCTCTTGTTCAAATGCCATTTTACACTGACGATAGTTCAACACAGCTCCAGAGGCAGCTAAGTAATCTGTGCCTAAGATTCCGTCAAAGCCAATGTCGGCCACAACAACCTCTATGTTCTCTGTATGACCATCAATGTTAACCTCAAGACATGAAACACCTTTCATTTGCAGTGGTTGTCCACCAGCTTGCAAGATAACTCGCTTAGGCGGCTCAAGCTTGGGTCTTCTGTGTTTAGGTATATTCTGGTAGACCTTTGAACTCATGATAGTACTAGCTGCTCCAGAGTCAACTAAAAATGAAACATTGGTGTCGCAAACTGTACCATGTGCCACTATCTTCTGAGTGTCCTTGGAAGACTTAACATCATTCCCCTGCAGAGAAAGAAATTTAATGGTAGCAATCTGGCTAGATCTCTCCTGTGCTGTTTTATCTCGCTCTTCGGCACGCTTCCTTGAATAACAATCAGCTATCCGGTGACCAGGCTTGCGACAATAGAAACATTTAGGTCTATTGTTCATGTTCTCCCTATTTGTAGATTCCAATCTGGTTAACTTCATCAGGTCAACCATTTTCTCCAGGTTCTTGGTGCACGTTTCTTGCACAGCTTGTTGCATTTGTTCTATCATTTTAGCCATCTTCTGGAACACAT